CTTTTATGTAGGGATCAACTTCTTCTCTCTTCTTTAGACCTTTGACTAAGCGGCATGCTCTGTTTTGCAGAGATTGTGGCTGTTTCAAAACAGAATGATTAGCTCCAAAGTAAAGTGCATTACAGTAGTCAAGGGAACTGATGATAAGAGATTGCACGATGATTTGCATTTGAGTTTCAGAGAGGGATGGTTTCATTTTTGCAATGATTCGCATCTTGTGGCAGTTTGCAGCTTTGAGCTTCTTTATTTGAGGATTAAATGTTAGTGTGGAGTCCAATGTAAAGCCAAGGTTTTTAGTAACATTGACAAGTCTTATGCAGACAGAAGGTTTAAGGAAGACACCACCAATTTCCAACTCCGACAAAAGACGTTTTGAACCAAAAACCATGATCTCAGTTTTTGTCGGATTTAGTAGAAGGAAGTGATCCGCCATCCAGCTCTCAATTTCTTGAAAGCAGGAGGGCAGGTCTTTGCTCAGGACGTGATATTCTGTAGGAGTGGAAAATGACTTGTAAATCTGATGATCGTCAGCATAGCCATGGATGAGGAATTGCTTTGATTTTACAGTCGAATAGATTGAGCGGATGTAGATATTGAACAAAACAGGGCCGAGGACAGAGCCTTGTGGGACACCAAATTTTATAACAATTTCTTCAGATTCTAGGTCACCGATCTTTACTTTTTGACAACGACCATGGATGAAGCTGGTAAACCATTTTAAGGCAGTTCCCTCGATCCCAATCTCACACTTCAATATGTTGATTAATTTTCTGTGATCAACAGTGTCGAATGCAGCACTTAGGTCTAAAAGCATCACAACTGTCGCAGTATTTTCATTACTGGCTACAAGGAGGTCATTGACTATGGTAATGAGGAGTGTTTCTGTGCTGTGATGCTTTTTGTAACCAGACTGGTGGTCAATGTCTAAATTGTTCTTGGCTAGATGTTCATTAAGGCATTTTAATACAAAGCGCTCTATGAGTTTACCAATGAATGGAAGATTAGAGATGGGCCTATAATTCTTTAAATTCTCAGTGTCCAGGGAGTCACCTTTGATTAGGGGAGTGAGATGTGCTAGTTTGATTCCCTCCATACTTCCGGTTGAAAGGGAAACGTTGATAATATCACAGAGAGTAGGGAGGATTAGTTCAAGGTGCTCTGACAGGAGTTCTTTAGGTAATGGATCAATTGATGAGGTTTTGATGCCAGATTCTTTGATCAATTCTCTTACTTCAAAAATAGTGGCTTTTCTAAATTCAGATAATACCTGGCCATTGAAGTTTGCAGAGCTATTAGTCACAGTAGTGTTGGGAAATGACGATCTGATTTTCTCAATTTTTTCAGTAAAATACTGGTTAAAGGCATTTACTGTTTCCTGGAGATCTTCTGAAGATGGCAATGTGAGGTTCTTTTCTTTATCCAGGAAAGTGTCCACAAATTTGTAAAGGCTCTTTTGTGAGTGTTTGTATTTTTGGAAAGTATTAGAGAAGAACAGTTTTTTCTTTTTGAGAGTCAGCTCTGAACAGTGCTCTCGCAAATGAACAAAGATAGAATGATCAATTTCAAGACTTGACTTTTTCCAGGCTTTCTCAGCCTTTCTTCTATCAACTCTTGCAACTTTGTATTCGCCATCAAACCAGGGAGCAGTGGGAATATCTTTGATGGTTTTGGAATATTCTGGAGCATGTAAATTGAGAATGTTTTGGCACCCATTATTGAATTGATTAACAACTTCACAGAAGCTCTTTTCTTCGAAGACCAACTCAGAAAGAGCAATGGATAAATCACCTTTAAATAGCTCCTGATCGATGTCTCTGATCTTTCTGAAACGTATGATTTTCTCACATTTGTCAATGTCTGGAGGCTTATGAAGCTGAAATAAAATTGGATAGTGGTCACAAGATGGGAAACTTTTGACCATGTTTTGTATCACCTCAACAGAATTATGATCTACTACCTTGTGTGAAGAAATGACAGGATCAAGAATGTGACCTTTTTTATGTGTTGGCGAGGAGACAAGTTGATGGAGTCCAAAAGATGAGAGTATGGTGTTCCACTCACTCACATGGGCAGAGATTCTATCTAGGTGCATATTAACATCTCCACATAGCAAGAAATGCTTGTATTTTGAAAATACTTCAGTCAAGAAGTCTTCAAAATCAGACAGGAACCTTCCCAAGGGCCCAGGTGGACGATAGATGCAGGAGCAGAAAACGACAGACCCATCAAACAGTTTCAGTTTTGCGTTAATTGCCTCAAATGATCCATCATTGTTGGCAAAAACTTTGACTAGCCGAACACATGATTTGTAGATTATGGCAACACCTCCACCTGATTTATTCTTGCGATGCATTTGGTAAAGTTTATACCCGTGGTCTTTTATTTTTGCAGTGGTGTTGTTGTTTGCATCAGTCAGCCATGTTTCTGTAACAAAGAAAAGAGAAATGTCGTTATCTTCTAAAAAGTTCATAACATGCTCGACTTTGTTGTTGAGGGAGCGTACATTCCAGCTTGCACACTTCATACTTAGGATTTTAACTCCAGTCTTGTTCTTCACCAGTTTTTTGAAGTGTAATATGAAATTGATTTCTTAAGCTTATGTTGTTCAGACACATAGGTAGGGCATGTTCTGTCTGTAGCTGAGTGTGTGTATTGCTCATCAGTTCTCTTAGATTTCTTGCAATTTACACAGGAAGGCTTAAAGGATGGTGAACTCTTGTTTGGACATGAGTTAGTTTCATGCTCGTCAGAGCAAAGCGCACAAACGGGATGAGATGCTTTACAATGGGCAATGTAATGCCCGAAAAGTTGGCATTTATTACATCTTTTGACGTAAAAATGGTCATACACTTTGCAGCGGTAGAGTCCTATCGAGAGGTAGTTGTCCCGGTTCTCTATTAGCTTTCGTATAGAGTTACTCACTCTAACAGAAGCCTGGAACAGCGGGTTTTCATCATTATGATTTCGTTGTTTGCGCACAGAGATAACAGAGAATGTCTCGCCAGAATCAGTGAGGGACTTGATTTCAGGATAAAGTTTCATAATGGAAGCAGAGAGATTTTCAGGTGAGACGTCCTCTCTGATTCCTGATATGGATATTGTAGGCAATTTTTCTTTAGGTTGCTTAAGATTAGAATGAGGGAAATTTTGGGAGAGGGCCTCAACTAACTTGACACGGTCAGCTTGACTAGATGTAGTGATAACGGTTTCACCCTTCCTGTTTGTGAAGGTATTATCCACAATGATATTATTTTCTGTAATAATAGTTTCGAGGTCAGGCTTAGGGACAGCTTCCCCATCTTCGCAGACAATTACAGCAGCTGGGTGTCTGAGTTTTTCAACTCTTTTGCTGTCACGCCATGGATTATCAGAGACATTATTAGTAGAGGGAAGGGTTGATGAGGCCGCAGAAAAATCTGCAGATTTGCTCATGACAGAAGATGTGTTTCCTGTGTTAGCAGCAAGTAAAAGATTTTTAATGGTGACAATATCAGATTCCATACTTGTCATCTTGGTTTCAAGGGCATGTACATGTGTTTTGACATCTGCTGCGTTTTTAAAGTTTTCACGAGTAACACAGGATTCACAATGGAAGAAAAACATTCCGGAACATTTGCTCTTCTGTTTTGATTCAGTGTTTTTGTTGAAAGACACTAAAAAAGATGGAGAGCATACATTATCGGAGTGGTTAGCACGTTTACCATTCTTAAATTCATGACAAGTTGCGTGAAAATTGTTTTTACATTCATAACAACATACCACTTCTCCTTTGGTTTCAGCTGAGCAGTTTCTGCAGATTCCATCAGTGTTCAGCATACGAGGATCGTTCACAGCAAAACAAGGGGGGCTGGCATTTTCACCACTTTCACCACTGTCCTTATCATTACCATTGTCATGTTGCCCCTGTAAGACATTATTTGAGGAGTCCAGCCCCCTGAGTTTTGATCAACGTCTGCCATTCTTTTAGGAGGATGGAGACAGAAGAAAATCTTGTAAAATGTGTAACTCAGGAGTTTCGGGGTCCTCAAATTATTTGTTATATAGTAGTGTTGAAAGTATTAATATTTACTATGCAAAACCATATTTACTATGCAAAACCATATTTACTATGCAAAATGCCCCAACCTCATAGTGTAAATTTATATAAAATTCAAATTCCATACCACCACTAAACCCCAACAGTCAACACAACAGTCCAAGCAAAATTAAATAACTTCTTATATACTGTCATACTACAAATTAATTAAACATTTGAAATCTGTTAACCAGAGAATAAATTTCTAAACCTAATGCAAGTGAAATAATTTAGATGCAATAATGAATGCCTAATATGAGTATCATCTGTCAATGTCCTTGTAGAACAGTCTGTACAAGAGATATGAGTAACTAATATAGAAGGAAAAAAACAGGAAGTTGTCGTCTGTTGGAAAATAAATAAAATATCTAGTATATAAATTAGAATATAAAATAACATTCGGTCAATGTGTCGTCAATAAACTGTACAATTATCAAATGTTAAAACTGTACTGGGTGATACAGTCACCAAAAATAAATACTAAGTAATAATAAGTTAATAAATTAAATGTGGTCTGTAATATTCATACGACCATAGGTACAATTCGTTTCATGACTAAATTGATATGTGTAGTGTGTACTGAAGAAAGGTACTCTGACTAGATTCACTTATTCAGCCGAGTTCATCATGTAATGGGACTGCATAGATTTAGAAAATTCATATATTCCGCATTTAAATTGGACTACCGTATTTAAACAAAAAAGGAGTTCATGTCCTTGGTCTTACAAATGCAATTTTAAACAAATTGTTAATATGGTAACTTACCAGAATTGGCTCAAGGAGAGCTTGGGTACGGTTGTTGCAGCCCAAGCATTTTATTTGTTACATGACACACGTTAGTGCTATTTATAATAGTATTGCATTAGGGCCTTTTTTAAAGACCCTGTTCAGTTTAACCCTATCATAGTGTAGTGAACATCATATTAACTTGACAACTTGTTATTGGTAGTGAAAGCTGACAGAACGATGCTGAGGGGATTACTCAAATCTAACCTGAAAGCTAATTTACGGTGTTTATCTTCGAGTGTTGATCTTGCTGGTGTCTTCCCGCCTATTGTCACACCTTTCCATAGTAGTGAAGAGCTTGCTCTTGAAAAACTTCGTCACAATGTTGGCATTTGGAAGACAAAAGGCTTTAAAGGATATACTGTTTTGGGGAGCAACGGAGAGTTCCAGTACCTCACCATTGATGAGAAAGTTAAGATTGTTGAAACAGTAAAATCAGAAGACCCTGATAAAAAGATTATTGTGGGTGCAGGGCATGAAAGTACTAAAATTACTCAAGAGTATGTTTCTTTGCTAAGTAAAGCTGGCGGGGATTTTGCTCTTATCTATGCCCCTTGCTTCTACCGAGGTTCGATGTCTGCCTCTGCTTATGTTAACCATTTTACAAACATTGCCGAATCTTCTCCCATACCAGTGATTCTATACAACGTTCCTGCTAACACTGGCTTAGATTTACCAATTGAAGTTGTTCTTACTTTGGCAGAGCATGAAAACATTGTCGGTATTAAAGAAAGTGGTGGAAATGTGGTAAGAATCGGCAGCATAGCTCACAAAACGAAGGATTTTGATTTCCAGATAGTTGCTGGCTCAGCAAGCTTTATGCTTCCTTCGTACAGTGTTGGAGCAGTTGGGACTGTTGCTGCTTTGGCTAATGTTATGGGTGATGAGGTGTGTCGATTGCATGATATGATAAGTGCAAAACAAGACTGTCTTGAGTTGCAACACAAGCTAATTGCACCAAATAATGCTGTTACTGCAACTTTTGGTGTTGCTGGTCTTAAGTTTGTTTGTGACAGTGTGGGCTTGTACGGAGGACCTTGTAGGTCTCCCATTCAGCCTCTTGATTCCTCTCAGAAAAAGAAGCTTACAGCTATCATGGCAGATGTTGGTATTGACTGCTCCAACAGTTTGGAATGAAATGTCTTAAAGGGCAGATTGAAGGGCAGATTTGGATGCAATTGTGCTTTCATGGATCAAATAAAAAAAAAAGATTTTTAAAATTAATTAGATGATACAGTAAAACCCCAAATTGACTGTGGTAAATCTTGGTTTTAACTGTATATTATTATATTATACATTTTATGATACATCAGTTTTTAAGTAATTTATTATTATTTTTTACAGTTATTTACAGTTATTTACAGCATGTTTCGTGAAATATTTTATGGGATTTATTTTAATGGTTTTTGAGTCAAAATTTGTACATTATTATTTAGCTTGTGTTTATGTTGAATTATCAAAATTGTTATGTGCAATTGATACAATATCACCTTCATCAAACGTTTGTTTCAACACTTTTGCTGCAGTGAAATAGAAAGTTACTCATCTATATATGATGCTTAATTTAAGATTGGCCCAGAATTCATTTTATTTATTCATTTAAATGTTTCAATTTGAAGAAAGCTAACTCTTTGCTCAGTCCTAGCAATTATGGGTTGTGGAGGCTGTTGTCGGTATTTTCCATGCTTGAGATTCACCATAGGCATCTTAACCTTCCTTGCCTTTCTGATGGGGGTCCTATCTTTCATGGCACCAGCCTGGCTCGAAAGGAATATCCAGTCGGTAAGTAATAGTTTTAGTGGTTTCATGACATTGTACAACTGAAGGTGTTAAATATTCTTTCTAGAATATTATACGTTGTTTCCCAAAAACTGCAAGTTCTAACCTTATTGTATTGATGTAATTGTAATATCATTTAATTGCAGGCAGAGTTAAGAGATGCTGATTTCAAAGACTATGAAACATATTCATTTGGTGTCCTTAGTAGTGGTGGAGTGTACAAAGCTAAGGAAAATTTAGAAGGGGAAGTGTAAGTATAAATACGTTTCATTATCAAACTGATATTCCTGATTTTTTTCTTGTAAGTTGGATTTATATATTATGAACTTAGTTAGAATCTGTCGTAATGATTCCTCCTTAATTTTCAGGATAGAAACATCGAAATATGTGTGGAGATTTAACGATAGCTGGAGTCAGTGGTCTAAATTAGAAGACCAAACTGTCATGATTGTCTATGCAGTTGGTAAGTTCCGAGTTAAAATAATATGATGTTTCAACATTTTTAATCCGAATTATTTTTCTGAATATGAAAAGCCACTTCTGGAAACATCATCATAAAATGAATATAATTAAGCAAACTTATCGTTCAGGCATGCTATTCATTCTGATCTCGCTGTGGAACATTGCCATCACAGAGTGTGTCCCAATCAAGAACCAGAGTACCATGCTCATCATGATGGTTGTTTGGGACATCCTAGCTGGTGAGTTATCATATCACTCATTTTACTTTCATTGAACTATGGTCCAGCATTTAAAACAGCCATATATTGTACTTTGAAAATTCATCATGAAGCCGCTGTTCATTTTTTGGAAACTCTAACTTAAACTTCTCTCCACTCAGCTCTGTGCATTGGTGCGGCAGTGATCATGTACTGCGCAACATGGCACAACAACGATGACCTCAAAAAATTCTGCAAAAACGAAGGCGAAGGCACCGAGTTCAAAGCCTTCAGTTTGGGCATCTGCAAGCTCTCTTGGGCTCTGTACGGGGCAGTCGCCACCGCATGTGAGTAGCCCTGGGAGAGAATGCTGTGTTGAGCGCGGCGGCTTAGTTAGCAGCATGATTCCTGTTGTGTGAGGTGTACTGGCTAAACTTAATCTCAGCTGATCTCATATCTGCTCTCTTTAGTGATTTGTTTTTTTTTTCATGATCCTTTGAGCACAAGTAATCTAACCTCGATTTTTTTGCCAAATTCGTATTTGGTTGAGTGATTCTATAACTTACTGTCGGGCTGGAAACTCCATGGATCAGTCTGTGAGAAATTGTGGTACGCTGTCCAAATAAACGTTATGATGTCAAGTGCCCTTTCTCAAAATGACATTATATGTGATTAGTTTATATGAGACTTAAAGTTTCTCAAACTAAAAATACTGTTACGTTGATTAATCGCTGTCACACTTGGATCATTTCTTGACGTTTCATTTAACGGGATGAAGCACGCATGTGAGGTGAAACTCAAGATTTAATGTACTCTGGGGAAAGCACTGATTTGGTGATTTTCATGAAACCTGATTACGAAATGAGTAGACGATATAATTGGCCATGTTTGTGCTGCTGTAAATTGTTATTGGTCGAGTGGTGTTATGTTTCCTCGATTTGCTTTGTGAGAAGAAGAAAATCAATTGCCCAGGAGAGTGTCAATAATTGGCGGGTTTCGTTGGACGGCAGTGAGCAGTCAACATGTATATAAATAACAATAATAAAGTTCTGTATAAATTTGCCTATTTTTAGATCAAAATGGCGTGAAATGAACTGGAACCCCTTTTATTACCAGGTATTGTGATCTTTGTTACCGGACTGAATATCATTGCGGCTTACCAAGCCAAGAGTCAGAGACGGGATGCAGCCTTTAGACACATGTAGTGTGCTCTCCCTGCCCCACTATCACATAGGTACGAGATACAGGATATCATCTAGTGTAACTCCCTGTACACCCAGACTCACTACCAGCTGACTTCACATGTCATTCCTTGTAATATGCCCAAGTTCCCACACTGTTGGGGCCTGCTCTAAAAATAATAATTGCCTACGTAATTTGTGCACATTATGTTGTCTGTATTTCTCTTAGAACAATAGACATTAAAATGTCTAAATGCTTACAGGACGAATGACAGTTGTGCAATCTGCATGTATTTTTCTTTTAATTACGAAAGCCCCACTTTTCCCTCTTCTACATGCCTAATAGATTATTATTTTGCCCAATTGTTTAATTTTATAATGCTTGCCAAAATTCATGGCTCATAATAAACTGCATGTCGTGTATTCATAATGATTGTACTCTATTCTGTAGTTGCATGTATTTGCCATTTAACTCATATTTCTTACACTCACAAAGCGCTCGACATGGACAGCATTATAAAATAGCAGTAGAGTTACGTCCAATAGCATAGCAGTATAGGTTCAAGTCACGCCCTTACCAAATTAATAGCCTAGTTTATCCGTACGATAAAAGTTTGACAGACTTGACTGACCAGACACACAGCTAGCTACCTCATGATATCGGGAACAACAACAAGTTCACACAGTCGTTCTGGTGACCTAAAACTGGTAAAGCCTTTCGAGTGTAGGGTGATCTAATTTTAGGACAAAGAGGCCTACGGACATGCCATTTCAACACGTTTTCAGCTCGTGATTACATCATACACGGTAACTCATACTCTCTAGTACAAATCCTTTGTGACAGCCAAATATAGTATAATAGCGATGCTTAATTTGTAGCTCATGTCAAACACAAGAAAATATTCTTTGCTTTCTCTGAGGTATATATCAAACTTTTGCGTCGTAAGATTGCCCTTCGGGGCACAGTTGCAGACAATGCACTGTAATGTTAAGTTGATATGCTTTAGAAAAGCTATCGGAACTGTAAAAGAGAGTCTACTGGACTATAAGCAAGAGTTGTCAACTCTGAACAGATATCTGGTGTGAGGATGAAGTTTCCCACCCAGTAAACGTTGATTAAGAAATTGTAAAGGATCATTACAAAATCAAAAAATAGGGGAGAACTCTCCCTACTTTTGCAGAAAATTCGTGAGTTATGTTCGATAGATCAAGGTTGTTAAATACGTCAAATTTTCGTGAAAGAATACGACGTATTCGGTTCTAATAAAGAATACGTCGTAATACGCCGTAATACGGTAATTTCTATGGATTGTTAAATACGTCCACGAATACGCCATAATACGCCGTAATACGCTTATTTGTCCAAATTAAACATTACAGCTGCGCGCCACCCTCATCATCGATCATGCATTAAAGGAGTGCAGTTATACATGATAACTTAAATGTGTAATCAAATTTCATGGATAAAGCTTATCGAAATTTTCGTAATACGTCAATTTTCGAGGATTAATACGTATTCGTATTCCAATGCGTATTCCCTCCTAATACGTATTTAACAACCTTGCGATAGATATTAAGAATGTTCAAGAAAATAAATTTTTTGGTTCAAGCAGTCACAAACCATCACTTGGGGTGGGTCACTTTGTACAAATTCTCTGTGACAGCCGAATATGGTATAATAGCGATGCGTTATTTGTTGCTTTGGTCAAACACAAGAAAATATTTTCTGCTTTTTCAGAGGTATATAGTGAACTTTTACAATGTTATATTGCCCTTAGGGGCACAGCTTTCAGCTGTAGAGGAGAAAGTCTATTGGACTATAAGCAAGAGTTTAACTCTGAATAGGATCTGATGTGAGTATAACTTGCTCAGTTCAAAGCCAAACTGTAAAGTGTAACTACAAAATCAAAAAATATGGGAGGACTCTCCCTACTTTTACAGAAAATTTCTGCATTATAATCAGTGAATCGGATTAAAGTCAAAAAAATTGTTGAATACTACGCTACTAACGTGTATTACTTATTAGGAAATTTTGATATTATACAATCACAGTTCAAGCAGGCAGCAGAAACCATGACATGGGATTTTATTTCGTCTTTTTCTCAATAAAACATAAACCTCTCCTTAAGGATATAAATTAAATTATCATCGTTCTTGCTAGTTTATCACAAAAATGTCCTCTGTGTTCACCGACTTGTGGCCTGTTCTTGAGTGTTTACTTATGAAATGTTTAATTTGTTTGACGTATGCTAGCTACTGAATCCTTGCTCTAGTATTGGAAGGTTGTCAGTCTTTAACACTCTTTAAGTGCTTGTGCTGAGTAATATGGCATATCTTTGTGTGTGGTGTCTAAGTGTGTGTAATCAGCCAATTTCACAGAAACTGACTTTTTACATGTCACGTGCTGATCCCGGGATATACATCTTGACTGTGATGACGTCACTACTTGCAGTGGTGACGTCACATCTTGACTGACAGAGCTAGTTGATTTGCAGACAAACTGACACACACATGATTCAGACTGACTGCACCTTGTACTTCACTGCGTCATATTATAATTAAGATATAAATAGTAAATTAACCGTCTTGTTTTGCAGGTGTACTCACGTTAGTCGCAGTGTTTAGCGGGTGCGCGTCCCGTCGCGCCCTCAACGACCATCAGTATACAGTGAAGCGAAACGGCACCGGCAGTCGCGAAAACATCAACACAACATGGATGTAAATCTCCTCTACTAATATGATTTGTTTGTTTATTTCAAGTGGAGAGAGTTTGTTGTTTTGGAGGTGCAATGAGATGACGCTGTGATGAAATGACTAACGTGTTAATAGACCTATCTGAGGTGACCGTCCAAACCACGCCTTCATACCCGTTATTTATTTGTCAATTTATAGATTCAGTCTGCACTGGCCCAAGCGAGTGCTATCCAAACGAGAAGACACCAAAATTCATACGATAAATTACTATGTTTAATCAGTATTGACTCTAACTAACTATAATCATTACGTACGCCAATATGTATGCAGTTTTCTTTAAAAACTGTTTGTACAAAGTAATGCAAGAAGATTTGTTGTTTTGTTTGTATAACTTTAACAATATGTCACGTCTTGACGGGGCTGGTAGTATAAGCTGGAAGTTAGTTATTACGCTATATTATCATGTTTAGTGTATTCTTAGCTGAAAATATCACAATAATCCGTACATCGTATATACTTACTTTTTTGATATTTTTTATTCTAAACTAACAATTTAATGGAAATTCAAGATTCACAGTGCCTACTTTTAAGAGATCATGAGTACGAATTAGGACATGATTACACCTGAAATCAGCATGACGCAGAGTGAATTTGATAACTTTTTACGGTTTCCTTGCATGCGTCTTGGTATTGGAATGGCATTTTGTGGGATTTGAAATTCCAGATGTTTGAATAAATTTGAGACACCTAATTGTGATAATATATTTTATCATCAGTGGCGTAAGAGCCTATTAATATTACTATTGTTGATTAGTTTATCAGCTTATTGAATTTATCTCAATGTTGCTAATGTATTAATTTAAAATAATATTCATATCTCGGCCAAGTATTAGTACAATTTCTAATCAAATCAAAATAGTGGTAAAATGTTTGCGATTTTTTGCAATTGTGGGATTTGTTTTTATTAAAGTGTTAAAGGTCGAATTATTTGTAAAATCTAATGAATTTTCGATGTACGACGTTTACGTCAATGCAAATGGTAATGTTCATGTAAATTTTGATACAAGTGTGTCAAACGGTTATACAAAAGGTTAAAATATAAACGTAGAATAAATAGGCAGTCTTTTCCTCAATTGTAACATTGCTCTACTTTAATGAGTTTTGTTGAATTTGTATATCCATACTGTTTTTAACGTTAATCCTGGATTTAGTAGTAGAATTTTACTCTTAAAGTTTCAAAAAACTCGCTTTTCCCTTGGTTGTGAGTTGTGACCTGTGAACATGTTATTTAATACTTGATAATGGTCAATCTAATAATAATTTCGAAAAGTTTGCCAAGGAATGCGAGGAGAAAATGCCGTCACCGATACTGCTCTGGAGTAAATATAGAAAATACCTCACATATTAATTTCTTGTAATTTGACGCATTGAGGTCAGTCAAGTGAAATACCATGTTGAGTAACCCAATATAATTGAAACATATCCAGAAGAATTAAACCTGTGACTGGTCCAGGTAAAGGGGTACATGCTGAGAGCTGAGTGAAACACGGCCACGGGTATTAACGTTACTACGTCAGGCCAGGTCAGGATGGTCAACAATTAAACAGTTCACTTTCTGTTTCTCTTTCTGTTTCTCTTTCTATTTACAACACTTAGACAACTTTCTCTATTATATCCCCAAGGTTTGGCAGCTCTGACTTACACCTACTCATTGACGTTGTCATGACAACACAACTTACGTCTTACACGCCTAGTAAGTTCTTAGCTTCCATGCCAGAACAATACTAAAATAAGTTACGAGGTCGTTAGTAGAAGGTTGCACTTCCTAAGCTTGGCAATGATTTAATTTGATGATCTGAGGTTTGGTAATCTATTAGCAGGTCTATAAGTTAGTTTCCTGTGTTGTTTCATGACGTGCCAAGGAATTAAAACCTCGTAAAAAAGAGTGAAGTTGAACGGAGTTTGTCGATGTTGAAACTTAGCCAGAACAACACGAGTGTTGACATGTTGAGCCGGATTACTGACTGATCCCAACTTTAGTGCCCAGTTTTATACATCAGAGCCACAACACTACACTGCTCGGTGCTCACTGCTCACACAAGCTTTAATACATGTTTCTCCCCGCTTTTGGACATCTCAATACAGCATGCAGATTAATTCAATGTATTTTCTGGCAATATACTACAACATTCTGGGCACATATAAAATGTACATGGCATGCTTTTAAAAGTCTATTAATTTCGGACACGTCAGAAGAGAAATTAGTGGGAGAGAAGGAGTTGGTTTGCTAAAATGCCAAGCTACGCAATGAAGACCTACTATTGAGCTTGGAGTTAACAAATTTATCAGATATTGCAGGAAAATGGGTTGTATTATTCCTGCACAACGGAAAGACTCCGAGGAAAGCTTGTTACACTTTCACACTTTGGGTATATATATTTATAGATTATTTCAGCGGAGTTGAGTGTGAATGTTTGTACATTTTGAAAGCTGCATTATAAGCCTCGTGATAATAATAGCTGGAGACGAAAGTTGAGGTTTTTCGGGGCTTTGTTGTTGAAACAGTTAAACTTTTACACAAACTTCTACAGTATCGTTATCACGTGTTAGACATATTAAACAAACATCCTAACAATGACCATACAAAATTAAGTTCAACAGGTCTACTAGGGTGAATCACAATTTAACTGCCCTTTTTAAAGCGAGGCACCTTTTTCTGCCCATAATCCCTCTATTGCATAACAAAACACAATTCAGCAGTTCTAACAGAACCACACTACACCGCAAGTCACGGGACACCATGTCACATTAATTGTCATGCTCGGCCGGTACATGATGCTCATATTATAGCAGTTAGTCAGACATCAGGTGGCCTGTGATTTGTCATTCTCCTCTCCATAATACCCTCCTCACCCTCCTGTTACAGGGGCTATATTATTATTGTAACCCGACCTGACAGCTTAATTAGTTACACTCAGACCCCTCTGTGACTCACACTCTTACACTCCAAACAGAGACCCTCTTGTGGTTCCGTCTAGGCCCTCTAGTTAATATTCCTGTTTATATTGCACAATATAACCTGGTAAGCAGACTTGGTAATATCCGGATTAGAGCAATTTAGAGCTATTTATAGATTGTTTGGGAGATATTGGACGGGTTTTCATTAAACTACTTATGGTAGTCCTGCCTTGCATAAACATATCATTTCTGAGTGGTAAACATTAAACAAGCATAATAATATGTAATATTGTCAACTCAACTTATAAATGTACAAGAAGTTAAATCGTAGGACAACAGATCCTTTAATATTTGACACATGATTGTAATTTACATGCTGATTCAGTTAATTAAACTATTGATAAGCGGCTTTTTTGTCAAAAGCTTTAAAATGTTGTGATCTAATGATGATTTACTGTTAGACATCTTACTATTGTAGCTGAAATAATTATCTCCAGTCATAATAGCATAGTATGTACGTTCTTCATTGAAGTAGTCAGTAAAACAAGGACATTATACTATGTGTGGGGACTACGGACCCCATCATAACCCATTTCAAATTTGCCGCCTGGTTACATAGCACTGAAATACAATATAATTCAATATACAAATTCAAAGCAATGTAATCATAGTATGTTATGATAATAGTATAATATATATAATAATAATGTTACGAAATAATAATAAACTAGTCTATTTATCAGTAGTCAGGACTGGTCGTTTTAGCGAGGCACCAACAGCAGTAAAAGGTTGCAATTATGACTGGAGAGGGGGGGGGGGGGGGGGTGACTGGTAATACGATCTTTAAACTTAGCAGTTTCGTATTAATATGGAGTTGTGGTTCAAAATGTAGGAAAATGAATTTTCTCGCTGGCCATCACTAATGTGACTGTTTATAAACTTATGCATGTGTAATCTGTCTCCCTTCTCGATCATCAGACCTTTTGTGGTTTGTAACAAGGTTTTCTCTTTTTTTTTCAAAACTCCCTTGGCCGAATGCCAAGGGAGGTGAAACACTGGTGGTTATGAGTGTAAAAGTTGAGCCCCAGTGTGACATTTTCAGATTATCATGACCTCAACTACTCAAAGTGAGATTTTAATATGATCAGTGTACATACTTTGAATACTAATCCCTGAGTCTGATACACGAAAACTAGGCCACAATTGCAGGAAGAGTGTCCAGAGTTAAATATATATTTTATTGACAAAGAAAATTACACTTTTGTTTAAATCAGCGGTTCTATAAAAAGTAAATCAACTGTACAAGTTTCGGAGCTGTCTCTTTCATGCACCTGTCATAGTATTGTATTGCCAAGTTATAATTAAGTAAATTTAAAACTTTAGTTAAATTGTCTGAATTCGGTTAACTCAGAATCGTAATAACCTCAAAATAAACCTGTCAGAAAGTAAATTAAAAAGTATTACATTTCGCCACTCTTGAGCTCTGTTATTTAACTTAATTGTATTCACATGCCACATGGTATGTCGATACTACTTTCCACATTAAAAACATCAGTAACTTAATCATAAAAATACAGATCATTCGATGAACGGGTAAACGTCCGCTTAGAAATATCCATGATCCAAGTTAATTCACACCCCACGAAAGTCGAAAAGTGATGACGTCACATGTCAGTAGTGATGACGTCACTTTGTCGGTGATGACGTCACTTTGTCGGTGATGACGTCACTTTGTCGGTGATGACGTCACATATCAGTAGTCTTCTCGAAGTGATGGTGTCCGATAAGTTTCCTCTCAGTGGGGGTGATGTCATTGTGATCTCGTCTGTGTCCGGGTACCACTGTCAGTACCACTTCTCCGCTACTCTTTCTGATCGTACTCAGAGCTTTACTCTGTGTGATCCCTACCATTGATCTTCCGTTTACCTGAGCAAAAAAGAGAGTTAGTTTTAGCAGGTCTTTTACTAATTGTACTAAAGACCGTGTTATAGTACGACGTATGTGAAGCTACCTTCCAGGCTACTAGTAGTATTCCTTAGTACTAGTACTCTAGTCTCTAGTATACCTATTTTCCGGTGAAGTCTGGATGACGTTCAGTTATATCCATTGATTTGTGAAATCCAACCCAGCCCCGAATTGTGAGAATGTAAGATTTATAAGCAACAGCTGACTTTTACCGAATATGGGAAATTTTTTCTACAACATTTAAAACATTTGCCTGCTTGTAAATTGCTTTTGTCTTTTGTTATTTATAGAGATATGACCTGTGTTGACGGTTGGGCGTATGACTGATATAAGCTATGACAGCCCAGCACAGTCATAAGTAGAAATTTACGACTTTCACATTTTTGGAGGTGGTCTAATCGGTAAATGTTTTGTACTAAACATGCAGTTTTCCTGATGATAATGATCTAAACGTCTCAACGTGATGAGACTCATCAGCAACTGTTGCGCTGTTAAACAAGTATTGAGCTGTTAAATTGAGCTGAGGAATGTGGCCTGCATATCTCCCGTATTTGCGTGTCGCAGTAAAACAATAAACTAATAGACACCTCGTCTGTTAAGTTTAAGGTAATAGAGTCTTTTTACGCTGTTTTGGGATAGTCTCCACCTATAAAACGTCTGTTAAGCCGTCACTTAATACGTATGATCATCTCACCTTCACAACTGTCCCACTGTGAAATGTAAAGACTTACTCAATGCGGAGACTTGATGAATTATATAGCCATGCTATCCAGATGTGATAAAATACTGGCAGTGCGAGTTGTACACGTAAATGCAGCAGGAACTGCTCCCAGTTTAACACACACGGCGCAATCTCTCTCTCTCTCTCTCTCTCTCTCTCTCTCTCTCTCTCTCTCTCTCTCTCTCTCTCTCTCTCTCTCTCTCTCTCTCTCTCTCTCTCTCTCTCTCTCTCTCTCTCTCTCTCTCTCACAGGCGACAAAACACTGGTGTGCATGTCACCTTCAACAATTGTGTGCTGTGTGATCAGTGATCTACTTGCTGTGAATGTGTTGTGGTTTGCCACCTTCACTGGACAGTGTTTAGTGTATTATGTTGGTAAAGATTACGATACAGAACGTGTTGCAGTTTAATAATGTGGTCAGATCTCTGAAGTATCTGTGTATCCTGTTGAGTGTTGGAAAACAGTGGAAAATACCAAATATCAACTGTCCCCTCTTGTTTAAATAATCTAATAATAATTCCAGATACAAACATTTTTTTGTTTATAGAAGGATTGACCGTGGGAACATTCTCCCCAAGTACGAATATACAATCTATATAGTATCTAGTATCTAGTGTCTCTGGCTTTACTACTACTGGTGTACACTGTTCTATATAGTCTACTATAGCAGTAAAGTCTGGCACTGTGTCAGCTGCTAGTTGACAGAGCCAGCGAAACCATACTCCCCTCACTGACTGACCACAACTGCGTCACTTCACTGTTTGGAAAGCGATCTATTAGTACTTTCTACTGAGTTACGTTGAGAAGAATCGACGGGATAAACGTGATCTCATCACAGCAAAATCAGTGTGACTAGACTGGATTCCTTACATAGCTGCTCAGGTAGAGCTCATGTTGGAGCTCTGTAGTGACCTGGTCACATGTCATGTTAGAGCTGTAGTGACCTGGTCACATGTCATGTTAGAGCTGTAGTGACCTGGTCACATGTCATGTTAGAGCTGTAGTGACCTGGTCACATGTCATGTTAGAGCTGTAGTGACCTGGTCACATGTCATGTTAGAGCTGTAGTGACCTGGTCACATGTCATGTTAGAGCTGTAATGACCTGGTCACATGTCATGTTAGAGCTGTAGTGACCTGGTCACATGTCATGTTAGAGCTGTAGTGACCTGGTCACATGTCATGTTAGAGCTGTAGTGACCTGGTCACATGTCATGTTAGAGCTGTATTGACCTGGTCACATGTCATGTTAGAGCTGTAGTGACCTGGTCACATGTCATGTTAGAGCTGTAGTGACCTGGTCACATGTCATGTTAGAGCTGTAGTGACCTGGTCACATGTCATGTTAGAGCTGTAGTGACCTGGAAACAGGGTTAAATCTGCCTGTCCTAATGTCCTGACTCCTGTGTGTTTGTAAAGGCTTCCCCTCCTCCTTCTTCTCTGTGAGTTATTTAAACATCTCTCTGGACAGGATGTTAGAACGGAGGGTAGTGTGAGATATTTTAATTAGATGAAGTAGGGTGATATCCACACATTTCACCGAGTGTAATAACACCGTGTACTTGCTACAAACCCGACTACTACTACTACAGATGTGACTGCTACGCTGAATATTATATCTTAATTTGCTGTGTAGTGTGATACAACACTGACCTCCTAGCCGGCTAACCCGATCTATTCCGTGTGTATATATAACAATAACAGAGAATATCCTGTGTGATGTACAATCAGGATATTTATTGATTAACATCCGCTCTCAGTGATCTCATTCCTCTCTCGGGTCAAATACAATTATATATCCCAGAAGGTATTAAACATGTTATCAGGTAATTAGAGGGTGTAATTACCCTAATTAACTAGTTCACCCTCCCCGGTAATTACCCTCCCCTGTCCCGGAATACTGTAGTAGTGGGGCCACGGTTTACAGAGAAATGATCAGCTCTACAGAGTGGCTCTCAGAAATACTTGTATTCGCTCTTTTTCCACACTGCAGCAGCAGAGCAACGTTCTGCAGTGCAGAATGTATATAATACCAGTTAAATACGCAACAAAATAGCATCGTTGCTGCCTATTAGCTAGATGACAAGAGCTAGGAGAGAGAGAGCGAGAGAGAGAGAGGGAGGGAGCGCGAGAAACCCTACAAGACATTAGACACCTCAACCAACTACCAGATTGGTTCTGATTGGGACGGCTACAAATACAGTCAGATGTGTTGGGAGTAATAGAGAGGTTATGTTATCATTTGATTATATAATAATACATTTGTAAGTAAACGTAACCAGAGAGAGAGAGGTGATGGGAGGGTCAGTCGTGAGATGTGTCAACTTAATTACTTATTAATAATAACCGATATTACAAGTTTAGTGGAAGCAGGGACGCGGTCACTGCTGCTACAAACACGCAATTGTAATATGAGCTCATAGTTTATAATTAACACTAATTATTTTCGCGCCGATACCACCTGCTTCAGAAGATGTTATCTCATCTGCGGTGTTTTAAATGTGCTATCGTTGACATAATAATAAACAAGTTCATAAAACGCCTTGCGACTAACCAGCGTATAACGTCTAATGAGAATATTATCTGATATTGGAGTGTAATGTTTGTTGTAATGACTTCTGTTAAAAACACTTTCTAAAAATAGGACGAAATGTATTCCTCGATAATTATCGCTTGTCAGAAAGTGTTCAATGTTCTTCAGACCGCTTACGTATATATATGTGTGTACCCAACATTTAAAGATGTCAGTAAATTACATAATTTTACACATAATACGATGCGAATAATTACATGAATGTGAAAATTACAATCTACAAAAAACATTTAATAAAACACCCAACTTATAAATCATGTCTTACCATGATGATTAGATCGCCAGGTTTAAGTCTGCCCTCCTCAAAGGCGGCCCCAACTTTTAACACTGTCTTAACCGTGACACCCTGAGATCAGTGTGTATTGTGTAATTACACGTTGTAATGTTGTAATTATATGTTGTAATGTTGTAATTATATGTTGTAATGTGGGTATATTATATCGGGTATTATTATTACTGTCATTGTTTGGTTGTGAGATTATTATGGTGCCGGTCACATGTGAATATTTAAGAACGAGCAAGGGAAATGATTTAACATTTTCCACCTAAATCCAATTTTGAAGATTAATTTGTGTGTAATATGATACAAGAAACTTTAAATTTAGACAGGTGTTAAGTAATCTGATGTACCCGTAAACAGTAAACTGTAAAATGTTATTGTGTCTCATTGCATGATCTCGTATTGAGAAATTATAACGTATTCTGATTACACTCTCGAGCCTCACTTGAGTCTAACCAGAATCCGCTTGAGATTCTCACTACAAGTGACAAGTGTTAAATACTAAATACTCACATGAACTATTCGTTTTCCATCGTGTTGCCCGAGTAGACTGAAGCCCAGTCCAGCCTCTTCCTTGTGTAAGATGATCGTCTCCGCTCTCTCCTGAGAAGCTAATGTGAGAACATACAGAATCAAGTGTATGTGACAGAGTGGAATTATTACGATGTCGTCTGATGCGGTCATGAGAACTGGCCTACGATTGGGAATGAAAATTACTCATTAGCCACATATCTCACTTCATTAGACGCTGATCTGATCCAATAAGAGGACATGTCACACTATTATATTATGGATTTACAGAATTGTCAGTTTTCTCATCGATGAGATGGAATGTTAATAAGATGTTATCTAATATGACGGAATCTGTACAATGTTTGTTCTGTAGTACGTGTGTTGTAAACTTATAAATGTGTAATATTTAGAGGGGAAACTACTTTCAGTAGCAATATACAGGGGGAGGTGAGAACTTTAATTACTAGCGCAGCCATATTAGGAGTGGAGATAGATCTGTCTAGTTTCAAGTTTGAGGGAAAATGTTGAGTTTCTGTTCTTAATTGATATTTCACGGAATCTTAAGAATGTCGGGCTGAACAATATGATAAAGCAATTTTATGATATAATTAAGCAGTTCCGGAAAATGCCATATAAATATCTTATAGATCTAGTTATTCTAGCTACAATCTAACTACATTTTTCACATAACACTGAAAGTGCTGATGAAAAGTCTGCAGTTTGCGAATAGACTGCACTATTCCTATAAGTACTAGATATACTGTTAACAGCTAATCCTGCAATAATTCATTTCATTTAAAGTTCAACCAGGAATACCTCAGTATTATCTAGTCTTCAGTATGAAGGTTTATGGACAAAAGAGGTTGAAAGGCTTTTCAAAGCGGGGATCAGTTAAAATTCACAACACTGCACTGGTCTCCGGATCTCAATCCAACACTTCTATAATAGTCTATATGCACCATCCCGCGCTAATGTTACAGTCTACTGATTTTAATCTAAATAAATTCCTGCACTTCTTGGCCTCATTACATATCAGATAGCTTAATTTACACTCACTAGTATCAGGGAATGTTATAGACACTAACAAATATGTATGGAATGATATCACTTCTTATTGTGAGGTTGGATACTTTGCTTGCACTTAATATACCGTGGCCAGCCCTGTGTACAATGCATTGATTAATTTATTTTTGCTCATCATGCAACATCTCGGACTGAGATGCGCGATAAATAACAAAACTCTATGTTTAAACATTTAAACAAGCATGATGAATGATCACATGGCCCGTGACTTTATCACGTAAAACTAGAATTTCGTTGTTGTTGTCGCTAAGGAATTCGACTAGAAATCAGCAGAAAACTTACCATGAGTTTGTCGATTGGGTTGACTGCATCTGTTATACTCATCTCTGTCATCTGTTTGTCAACATCTGAATGTACAATGTATTTCCGTGTGCCACTTATAACTCATTAACAGCAGTTAAAATAGTTATGAAAAGACAAATTGTCAAGATACATTAAATATGGCAGTGAAATTCAAACTATTTAGCTGAAAATTCAAACAATTTAGCTACTATCAAGTAGATTTTAAAAATAAAAGCGGTTATATTGTTTGAAGTATGCAGAATAGAACACATAAATGCAGGTAGTTTTAAAAATCTAGATCCACCGAAATACTTACTGTTACTGAGCTTGTCTTCGCTTCTAGACCTGAATAAGAGTGTGAATGGTCCATAGTTGTGTTTAAAACTATGATATTAAATATGACCTCTATTTTGTAGAGAAAATGAACATTCTTCTGAATTATCATTTGTGTAATTAATCCAAATATAGAAGGAACAATCAATCGAATATTATATTATAACCAGAATCTGACAAATTAATCTGACAAATCTGATAAATGGCAACTTGATATTACATTTACATGTTTCTTTGAACGTAATACTTCTATTGTGTAGTGTTAATTTTGAAGCGTTTGATTTATCAAAATAATTAAAAGAAGCCGCCTCTACTGGTGAAAGATATACACTTCCAATCAAACATCTTGCCCTCATATTACTATCGCATAATGTCACAGGGAAGGCATGTTTTTCATATTTAGTCTGTCTATCAGAGAAGAGCCTGGTGATCACGTGACAATACACAGCCAATCAGAAAGCAGGAAAGCAGAAGATTTAATAACGAAGGGAAGTGTGTAGTGTGATGTGGAATGCATCAAATATTCAGTGTAACTCTTTGCAGTGTAAATGCTCTGGAAATTGGTTCCAGCCAATTCTCCATGCGAATAATTAGATGTACATGGTAAGTACGTAATTTGGTAATTAGAATCCCTTTTACTTTCTGAAGAATTACGTGCGACAATTTGTCTTCGTTACACAAGGAAATATAAATCTACATACATGTACAATTCCTCAGACTTTATTACAGCTCAGTTAACCACTATTGAGAGGTCTGTACAAAGTGTACACAATAATAGAATTAGGCCGTGGATCCGTAACCATCGTCCCTACAAGCTACAACCACCTTTTATTAACACTAATTTCTCAGCTTGTGCACGGCGAACAGGATGTCCAAATTACTATTGTGGGTAAGTTCTATACAATACTGTGTGCTGGCAACCTTTTATTGTGCAGTACAATACCCGCCTCATTCTAATTTCAAGTTTACTTCTTCCGCAGATCAATTATATAGGCGAGTCATAAAATTATGTGGGAAGTATTTTGTAAAGATATTAGGGCCTGTAAAGTTTGTAAAGACAGTACTGGGGGTTCTAAAATTATATAATTAATACGGCAGGTAGTTTCAGATTCCATTCCCTCGGAATAAAAAATCAAATTCGCCTTCCAAGACGATTTTATATAGGTTCAGTGGTTTAAATCCATTCGTGTTGTAATTTTAATAGACTGTCTTTGAGGGGTTTAAGGAGAGAAATTAGTATAATCAGGTAGAAAGGTTCAAGTTTAAGTCATACTGGAGCTGGACGTATTTACACAAAACTGTCTGGAATTATGTCACAAATAAAACCTAGGCCGGTGATACTACTTTTAGATTTCATTAGCGTCATAAACACCTTAACTCTACCCACTCTACATGGTATAGTGCAGTAACCTGATCCATGTCTACTAAGTTCATTTGTATGTGACCTGGTTAAGGTTGCAGTCTCCAGACTCCATAATATATACGCATTGTAAAGTAGCTATGTTTAAAAACATAATTAATGCTGCCGGAAAATTGAGTAATGTTAATGAAAATGTGCCGTACAATTATCAAGTTTTGCACAAAAATTTTTAACAATATTAAGTCTTGTTTTACACGACCTGTAACAAATTAGTCCTGAAATAGGGGTTTCAGTTTAGAATTACGTACTGTATTACAAAAACAAAGTTAAAATTCCTGTTTTGATGAAATTAACGGTGACTAAAGCAAAGGTAAGTATAACGAAGCCCTACAATCAATTGTATGCTGTGTGAAAAGCGTCACAACATGACGACATCGAGAATATATGTCCGATTGGATTAAAGTTCGTCGGGTGTTGGATCGTACGGGACTCTATGAATAAGTGGAGAGCGTAGATAATCTCATCTACCCGCGAAAACCGAGACCGAAAGACGTAGCGCGCGAAAACATGACTGCTACAAAAACTGCACTAATTTTTGCGCGTCACGCCCATCCTTGATCTATATATCTAGCTAGTCTGAATTATAATATTATAAGTCAACTAACGACTCTGCGCGCGCCTGAATTCTTTCTGAAGTGCATTCATATTTCATACAGTATCAAGTATGAAAGTTAACAAAGACCATTATGTCAAAAGGTGATATATGTCCTAAGCGAGAGGCCAAGAGGTTCATTATCAAAGAAACGAACGTAAAGCAGGAAATACGGTTAAATTATGATCCTACATATAATTAGCCAGTCAAAGTTAAAATCTCATAAAGAGGAGAGTGGCATAGACTATAATTCTGGGAGGGAAAAGGTGCTGTAAGCTAAATTATGTTGCTTTTCATGTCGAATTCTACACAAGACACTAACCAGAGAAGAAGGGAGCTTCTTCTGCTTCTATAAATGTAACCACGAGCAAGTGGCTTGATTTTGTTAACGGAAGAAGAGGCACGGTATATTGAGGTACATAGCAAGGTATTATATAGAGAGGCACGGTATATAAAGGTTGTACTGTAGTATCACCAGAAATTGGAAACTGTTTAGTGTATATGCGGTTAAATAGCATTATAAATCAAGAGGCTTGCATATAATGAACATATTGACACGGGTGCAGAGTTGAGTCTGTACGGAACCTAGTAGTTTTAGATCCTTGTTTAACTTGCCGTACAGTAAGGTCATCCACTACTTTAGCCCGGCGAGGCACATAACTCCCTCTACAACTCCATATCAAATGTTTCATATATACTAGCCAAGTTCACAAGATATATCCTTGTGTTTGAGAAGAGCTCGTTAGAACTGCTTCCTTTCCCTTCAGTATCCCACAGTCTCTCGAGTTTCGTAACTGCCAGAGAACTCTCTTAAACAATTACTAGACTCGGTGATTATAAATCAAGAGGCTTGCATATAATGAACATATTGACACGGGTGCAGAGTTGAGTCTGTACGGAACCTGGTGTTTCAGATCCTTGTTTAACTTGCCGTACAGCAAGGTCATCCACTACTTTAGTCCGCCATTTGTGTTAGTCATAATAATACGTCTACATTCTTGCTTGAAGATGACATTACGAGACGTTTTGGTGGCTACACTCTACAGGCACAACGTCGAGAAATAAGATCTGTAAAACAACTTACTGTTCGCCAGAGGGCCTGAATATCTGTGTTTCAACGACGGATGATTCTTTAATTAACGCTTCCAGTTGAGGAGACTTGATTCCTTGACAACAAGTAGAACCGATCTGAAGGATAATCATAGAAGTTAAACGACTAAAAATACTTAAATGCATTGAAAATATAAAAAATTGCATCATCACTCATCAACTCATCGTAAAAGCCGAGATAAAATCAAAAAATGCAATGTTCATTAATATAATTGATTACGTAATTGTTAAATGTTTATATAATAGCTTTATCCTTACTCGTAACAAGCGGTCATTTTGATGCAGATTCCCACTTTCGTCCGTATTTCGATAATCTAATGAAATTATTCGGGTCACTTCAAAATATTACCAAATAAGCATATACATAGCCGGGTTTTTTTTAAACGAGCATTTACAACAGGAAAGTAGATACCGTGGGAAACTCTGTTTTAAAAATAAATTATTCAGTTATTAGTATTATATAATGTTGTTAGTATTATATCATACAAAAACTTAACTGAACTTAAATTTGATGTAATATTATTAGTCGCAAAGCTCTACCAATGTCACAGTGTGGCAGCCACACCACACAATACTTACAAGGATAGCCAGCACAGAGGATGAACCCCAACAAATCTTCGCTCTCCTGCAGGGACAGAGGAAGAATGGTACCAGTTTCAAACTTTCTGGGGTTAAATGTCCTGATAGTGTCGGGTCTGTAGACCGTGAAAAGAGCAGGACAGTCGATAGAAGCGAGGATGTTGGAGAGGACTCGGTCGTTTAGGTTCTCCAGAGAGTACCCTCCCACGCTCATTAGGATATCCCCTTCTTCTAAACTAGGGATATAACAGAGTCATTAGAATATCTCCTTGACTGTAATTATAGGTTTTAAGATAAAAAGGTGTAGGAATGTTGGAAATTGATAAGAAGTAAGAGTGTTTAACAGTACCATCCATTAAGTGAGGCAGGGCCACCAGGATGAACTGTTTTTATCCTGATAAAACTCTCGTTCCCCATGTAAGTGTTCCGGGTAGAGAATCCGAACCCAGACGGGCTCCGGTTCAAGGTGACTTGGAACTGCATTCCAGACCTGTTGGACTCAGAACCTGAAACAAGAAATATTTTTTAACTCTCGTACGTGAATCTTAAGATAAGCCGTATACGAAATTGTTCACAAAAAATTGCCCTTGTATTCAGTGATTTACCTTTAGAATTAAGACTGCCAGTACCCCAGCTCATTACCAGAGTCACATTATTCGGAGCTTGTTGCAGAACGTTCACTACTTCCTGGTTGGTGAGACCTGACAAGTCCACCCCGTTCACACTCAACACTGCATCTCCTGGTGATATGAGGGGTAGTGGAGCTGGAACTTCACGTGAACTTAAGCTAAAATAGAAAGTAAGTTACCTACTTATGTTACCTAAGACTACGAGCTTTGAGGACACTGATATCAAGTCAATTCATTCACACCCGTTAATTAAGTGGAGCCAGAATCAAACGCTTCAAAATGTAGAATATCAACTGAAAATGGTCATACTGATTACTGACCTTTTTCAACCATGCCAGAAGCTGCAGCCGGTCCGTTGGGAAACATGTCCCTAACATAAGTGGAGCCCTTGTCCACTCTTATGCTCATCCCCAGGCTTCCTCTTTGTTTGGTCAGATATACCGTGAATATTCGGGAAAATGGGTCCCTGCGGAAGAAGAGACTGAACGACGGTCCGGTAAATATTTTGTTATTTTATGCAATGAGTAATACGTCATTTATTTATATCAGCAAGTTATTCCAAGTTCATTTACATAAACTGTGGCTTAGTTGATATCGACCGAAAGTGGCTGATTTACCTTGACAAGGGGACCTTGTGACTAGAACTGTTAGAAGCTTCTGTCCGTTCTCCATCACTCTTCACCATACTGAAGGAAAATTAAGTTAGATTTATCTCCAGTATAACACTTATCGTACATTATCAATTTGTGAACAGAACATGAACAGCTGTTTCAATAGTACTGACACGCCCTGTGAACGAGATAACAATTTGTAAAATGAAATAAATTGAAATCCTTTTGCGATCTCACGAATAATGGCCATTAAAAGAGCCACTGGTAAATTAGCACCTAAGTATTATAAGTAGGAGTTGGATCTACAGTTCGCAACTAGCCGAGATACTGGCTAACAAGTCCCGAAATAGTTCAGTTCAACGGATCAATTGTGAACTCCACCTCAACTTCTCACCTCGCTGGAGTAAAGCTGTCACAAGAGATCCGACCTACAACCAGGACAAAAAAGCCATTAAAACAAACTTTCACATCTCTTGTCACACAAAGGAAGGTGCCAATGAGTCAAAGGATATCACTCTGCCCATCTGGTAGCCGAATAAGAGGTATCCGTATAAAAGGGACCGCAGATTATTTTAAAGATATCACAATTTTATCTGATAACCGATAGTCTTTCAACTGTAATCCAACCAACTCACAATGAAGATCTTTGTAATCCTAGCGTGTCTCGCTGTCGCTTTTGCGTAAGTAACCCTTGGCCCTCAACATTAATCATAACCAATAACTGTATCTTTAAATCTGGCCCATTTGGCTTTTTTTAATGTACAATTATTGTTCGAGGAAAGCCTTGTTTATTTATCGTATTCCTGATTACCTATCAAACGATTGTGGAAGACACTGTCTTGTCTCTTTTAAACTAAAATTAACTTGCAGGACCCAGAACCTGGTGGAAGATGACGAACATTTAGAGGATATCATGGAGAATATGAAACTCCAGGGTTGGGCTGACAATATCATCATTGCACAACTGATTGGTCTGGGCAAGACTGTCCTCTGCTACGGAGAGATCCCATTTGATGTCCCAGCTAGGCTCCTGAACATCGCTAAAGCCGCCATCTGCTAGACACTATTCTCTTACTCAGTAAAATCACAGTAAAATCATGTTAATAAAATGCTATTGAGCAAACTTAACCACTCAGTTTTTCTTGTACATCTTATATAACACCAAGACGTGACATAATAAATTAAACGTTGAAAAGTATACAAATAATGCTGATAAATTAAACCTGCTGTCGGATCGGTTGTGGAGCATCTGCCCTGGGGAGTAGTCCGAGCAGAAGGAGTCGTTCTCTGATAACTCTTTATCTGGTAGAGGGATCTGCTCTGAGCTCCCTCTGGTTAGGTTCCGTTTTAGTTGGGCTCCACTTGCTGACCTGAGACATTGCAGAGCTTGATTACTGGTCATAGTGGTCATTATTACAGATTATCCACAGGTGTCGCTAACGGGATCAGAGACAACTCAGTGGAATTTCATTCATTGTGTGTTTCATGAGCGATTTCAAACTCATTAAGTAAATTGATTGATTGGGGACCAGCTTTTGGTACACTGGTTAATGTTTACTATAATATTAAAGTATTACAATTACATAAAATTAGATAAATATAAATTCCCTTTGCTTAGGACGTACCAAAATATCCAAAAATGAAACGATGCACCTTAGCACACAACACAATACATAAACAACTGGCAGTGTATCCTCAGAAAAGAGCCCTATAGATAAACCTGGCCTGGGTGAGACCTGCATTGCGATTGCTATTCAGCGATGTGTGCTCTACAAGTCATCACATACCTGAGTTACAATCACGGTTGCAGTTTTATAACTCACAATTAAAAGTTTCTCGTTATCGGCCGAAATCAACAAATACACGCCGAAATCAACAAATACACGCAACAGCCATAGATAAGAGCCTTATAGTACACTTAAATCGAAGAAATATGGATATCAAAAACACTATATTATGTTACATCTTGACCTTATCTACACTTAAAATCTTGCCGTCTCTGATATAATAATACTTTGTTGGCTGAGCAGCAATCATTTCCTTCATTTTTACAACAAGTTTCTGGTGAACTGCTTTCTCCTCCCTATTTCTGTCAGGTGTGATGTACCATGTGTGGTACGCTACATAATTAGATTTCTTCAGATTTCTTGCTCGAGCAAGAACCATTTTGACTGATTCCGTGCAAGCCAATGTCACTTTTAACGGTCTTGGTTTACCACTATCTGCAGGTTTTTTAATCCCGATCAAACTTGCTGCCACCACTTGAGGATCACACCCCGATGATTCCCAAATTTCGGTAATCACTTCTTCTGCCACTATATGTGGATCACTGCCGTAATTCTCTGGCACACCGTAAACAATGAAATTCTTATTGCGGACGTCATCTTCAACTACAGTTTTCACAGCTGTCTTTATACTGTCAATCGACGGAGCACTGGTAGTTGTTTCACAGTTCTCCTTCACGATGTCGCACCATGTTTTTTTCATCTCAGTTTGTACAGTTTGCTGGACAGAGTCGAGCTCTTTCTGTTGCTGTTTGATAAGATCCTTCTGATAATTAAGCTGGTCTGATTTCAGTCTGTCTATCGTACTGGCCGCAGATTTACATAATTCAATATTGCCTGTCATCAATTTAGAAAGTTTTTCGACAGCATTAGCCAAGGGGTCTTTCGTAATGGCCATTAATCTCGAATGATTCAGCTCTGTAACGGTTTGAGTTTTCGAGAGTTTCAAAATGTCATACAACGCCACTGATAACTCTTTTTCGAGTCTGTTCAAATTTTCCACAGTGAATTCCATTGTACAAAGCAAAGGCAAGCTGAGTAGCTGGCGTGTCGATGTAAAGATAAAACAACTGATAAGAGAGCAATTAAAATTGTTGCAAATGCTAGAATAACTGATTGTAATTTAATTTCTTCACCACGTTTCAGCCGTAAATCGAAATATCATGTTAGAAATTCATCAATATTTATTGAATTTAACTCACCCGTTCATTGGTATTATAACATCTTCATCAAACGAGAGACCGGCTGTTTTGGAACGACCTGAAGCCTACATATTACCATGTTAGTAATCTTATTGAATGTTCGTGAATATCTAGGTACACACACAGCAATGGGAACGATCCAGCATTGCCTAATTAAATCTCAAACTCATTGTAATGTGACAAAACAAACATGGTTCATCTCCAATTCTCCAAATCAATATCCAGATCTAAACGTAATTTTAATCTCCACTATTATCTTGACAGTGAAGATAAGAATATCAATGTTATGATGATCCAGAAATTAAAAACATTTCTCATTTCCACTCACACTAAGAGAGGGGTAACGGTTGATAACAGGAGTGGTATGGGCTCTAGAGATGGGGGCTTGGGTGGAGGGCTGAGGTTGTCGGACTAGATTGTACCTACAAATAACCAACAATTAAGGGGGGTTTTGCCTTGAGTTTCATGATAGCATTTAACAGACTATGGATTAGAAAATTGTAGGTCACTATAAATATCAATTCTTTGAACCAACCTCTCCTGCATAGCGATCCTATTCTGAAGGGATTCGGGCAGTGATGAGATATTGTTATTAGACAGTGTCTTGTTATTAGACACCCTTGTGTTTTTAGTAGGTAAAGTGTTACTGCTAACAGATGAACGGGCAAACCAAGGTCCCTGGGTTGATCCTGTTACTGGGGTTGACTTGCTGGCACCCAACCGTTTCTTACTCATCAGAGATGTATCCAAGTCTGAAACAAGGATAGATAAGGGGATAGATAAGGTATCATCGAAGTGAACTGTGCGAGAGTTACTGAGATAGCAGCCGTGATCATATATGATAAGTAACCTAGTTTATTAAGCTAGACATAAGCTTATTTTCACGTTCTAGATGTCATAATCGATCGTAAGGAATTATTTGATAAAGAGACATTACATCAGCAGACACCCACCAATAGAATGGCTGTGATCAGATCCAGAGTCAGCCCTGTCCTCCCCGGTCAGCTGATAAGGAATATCTCCAGCAACCTCCACCAGCTCCAGCTCAACCCTCTTTGACTGTTTGGTTATGAGACTTACAGCGTCATGGTGGGACATGTCCTTCAGACTCATACCATTCACTGACAGCAACATATCACCTGGAGATGAAGACATCACGCTAAACTGTTAACACGGTCATAGATTATTTACCTGGCGTCCTTCCCAATTAACTGATAATCACATTTAATTCCCTTCAAGTAAATCCCCAAAATGTTGACTCTATCAATCCTTACACTGTACAGACTGACCAGAATCCAAAGTTTAAATAATCACCACACCAACCTTTCCGTATTCTGCCATCTAGATGTGCTAGACCACCAGTAGCTAGCTTATCAACATAGATACCCTCACTGCCATCACCACCCACTATAGTCAGCCCTAAACTTTGTAAACTGTCCGCTTTCGTCAGACATACGTACTTTTGCACTAACTGTGGGACAGCCGGTTAAACAAGAGGGCTGCGACTTTCAGGTCTCAGCATATACCATGTTTTATAATTTTATTAGACTTAGAGGGACTTTTATCTTTTTATAAGAGATTTTTGTTAGATAAATTAAATACCTGGCTGTTGGGAGGAGGACGTTTAGATATAGACACCGTGGACTCTTGTCTATCCAAACTCTGAAAGGAGCACCAGTTGTTGAAGGATACGTAGTTAACAAAAACAAAACACAAAGTTCGGGGCTGAGTTTGGTTATAAATTATATTTGTTGCTTGTCGCTTGTCGTCATGTCGTCCAATGTTTTATTAAACGGAAAAGGTTCTGATAGTCGTAAAGAAAAATAAAACAAAATGAAGGCTTACATTTTAATCATACAAAACATAAACAAATCCCAAGTACACGGTCAAACAAATCGGAAGAAAATTCCTATTAGAAACGGATGATGACTTACACCGATTTCATACTCGACAAAGACAACAAAATTAATATCTGTTCAAAATAGCCTGCCGTTTTTCCCTCTGTTTTTATTTTTATGCCTTGCAGTCTCGCAAATCGGTGAAACATCACCATCTAATAATTCCAAACTAGAACTAACAGAATCAACTCGACTCTCCCCGCAACCAAATGACACAGTTTTCACGGATGTCTGAACCCCAATGTCAGCTGAAAATGGTTCCAGAGTATCGACATCGAAATGAGTTGTCCCAGGATCTACTTCCATTTTCAGTGATATTCTCTCCTCAAAAGGCTCATCTTCATTGTAGGTAATACGGTAAGCTATATTAAGGTTACCGGGACTACTAACAGAGGCCATCTCAGGACTTCTGGTTCGAGTAGTGAGACTGTCTTGAGAAGAGTTGGATGAGCTCAAATCAGGGTCCCAGCTTTCTGGGATAAGAAAGGAAGGAGGGGGCGGTAATTCTGGTGATGCAGCCTGTATTTGCGGGTCTGAACATGCACTGACAGTCAATGAATAGGGTATCTCCATTGCTGTCTCATGAAATGACACTCTTCTGACAATTTTCGACGTCTCTTCTGCTTCAAAAGTATGACATTCTTCAGAAAAGTTTGGTGAGTTTGTGGGCGTTTTTGGCTGTTCTTCAGTAAGTAAGTTTATATCAAGTTGGGAAGGTGCTGATGTGACCCGATAGCCGGGTGACTCTATCCAGCATTCTTCGTCATCAGTCTCGTGCTCACTTCCTGTCATGTAGTCATCTACAGAGATCTTAGTCGAGCTCCCTTTCTTCTTTAACCGTTGTGCCCGACTCAGCAGTTTCAGTCTTTTCCTCTTCTTCCTCTCTTTTGCTTTCTCTTTCATCACAAGACCTGGTCGTAGCTCCTCGTCAAGTCGAAAGTAAGCTGATGGCATCTCAACTACCCCACTCTGCGATCTCTTCAGTCCGTTTTTTTCCTTAGAGTTAGAGATTTTGCTTTCTGCTCTGAGATCTTCTAGTCCCACAGAGCGTTGGGAGTCCTTAACGTCTGGAACATCAGTTGTGCTCTTGGATCTACGAAGAGTAAAGAATGAGTTGCTCTTTTTCTTTGTTTTCTTCTCTTGTGATCGCTTCTTCGCTGCTTTATAATCCCTGAAATTCCCTTTGGTTTTGAAGGAAAAGGCGAATTTATCAGAGTTGGTTCTATCGTCTGCCAAGGGATGTTCAGGACTGGGAGTGGGAAACTGCTCATCCGCACTCAAACTACGAGGATTAGAACTGCTCTCATGAAAAAGTACGAGAGCTTCCGCTGCTCTACGAATATCTGTCGATTCTTTATCAGAATCTTGTTCGTTCTTAGAGGGTGGTTTAGGTTGAATATCGCTACTTTTTGAGGCCACAAAATTGCTCAGACTTCCAATTCGCATGCTCGACGGTATGCTTGGTGTTTCCAAAACTTCTTCCCTAGGTTTCTCAATACCAGAAGAAATTCCCCTTGTGAGTTTCTCAGGGATATCAACCGTGTCATCGGTTTCACCAAGAGACCGTTCAATCTCGTCAGCCTCCCCAAAAACTTCAAACACTTGCTCACGATTAATCACAAATCTATTTAGCGTATTGTAAGGTAAGTCTTTCTGTCGGTTTGTATTGTTAGCATTGTCGTAGAGAAACTCAAACTCGTTTTCGACCAGATTAATGGGGTCTGTCTCTGTGTTCGTCTGAATGTCGTCTGTGTGAGTTTTAGTAACCTTTTTCGGTGGCTTAGCTACGACGGCGTCCACTGTGTCAGGCTCTTCGGGACTCTGGAAGTATAGTTATTAGTTAATGATAAATCTTTTAAATTTAAGTTTTTTAGCTGCAGCCCATTCGTATGAATCAACCATCTGGACAGATCAGAATATTATGGACGGTTTTTAAGTATTCAGTTCACTTCCAACTGAATCAAAAGAAAACCCTGGACTCACATTATTGTTAGTGATGACGGATCTTGGTGACGGAGTGTAGTCCCTTACTGAAAAAGTCGGTTCAACCTCCTCAGTTTCAGGAGGCAACATGTTTTTCAGTTTTATGTAGAACTTGTGAGTATCTGCACATAGCGTCATGATAATCCTGGATATCTTCGTGCTCTCTGTAGGAGAAAGAAGAATAGCAAATCGGTAAGATCATTTGTAATAGTTTGGTACGTGAAGATTACTCAAATACGATTCAATCTAGGAAATAGGAGAAAATAAAACTTCTTTTTACCAGTTTCGAAGTTGTATCTGCGCTCGTTTTTGTTCTTTCTTCCAGTGTTACCAACAGTGACATCAAGTATGAATGTCTTGTTTTTGTAGGATAGGTTTGCGATTTGACCCCAAGAGTATCTAGGAAAAAAAGTAATGAGTCACTAACACCATATAATAAGGTCGGGAAATACGGTCAGAACCGCAAAATATATCAAACATTTTAACAACTTGAGAAAGTTCGTCAAAAAAAGATTTTGTCTCTTACTTGTAAGGTGTGCCACGTTTTATTGCAGAATCATTAGGTTTCTCATACAAAATAACAGCTTGAAGAGAAATTCCGATATAGCTGTGTTCCACTTCGTAAGGATTCCTTTCATTTACCTGATAACGATATGAACTGTTATAATAACTGGCATTTATAATTTAACTCGGGTAAGAGTTGGCAAATGAGCTGACAGAGATATTCTATAAATAGATTGCAGGCTTGTCGGCGAAGGCGTTTAGCGAATTTACATCGGTGAGAACACTGAACTAATTTACCGATTTTGTCAAAACCTATTTAGATTTAGAATATGGTACATAACTTTTATGATCAACTCGTCTTCTAGGAAATAAAAATTGCCAAAAAGATTTTGTGCCAGAAAAGTTTTCTCAGAAAACTGACGCCACACGCCATATTTAATTTTATGCACAAAGAAACTTTCAGCTTAGCCACCTCAACTCATAACTACAATACTATTGAGTATTTGACCCAGTTTAAGAGATGAACTCACCTGGAAGAAGTGAACTCCGTAACCAGGCTGCTTGGACACGATCTGAAGGTACCGGAGCACTGCTTCGTTCTGACTCATGTCATCTAGCTTGCTGTGCAACATCGGTATCTCCTTACTAGCATACATGTAGGATAAAGTCGACATCACCTGACAAGATCAAGCGGGTCAGATTTTACGGGAATTTGTGGACGAATTATTGAAGAATCATTTTGATCAGAATCAAAGATTTGTGAAAATGATCAATAGAATTGAAGATGATAACTGTAAGTTGTAGTGTAGAGCACACCACCCAACTCACATCAGGGGGAACGTAGCTGTAAGGGTCGAAGTACTGGTTACCAGTTCGGTCGTAATAGTCCCCCATGTCCGCTTGTAGAGCCAGAGCCGCCAGGTCAAACGCTACCTCTTTAGTGATCTGGTATCTCTCTGACGGAGGGGAAGTGTGAGTGATCGAGCGAGAGACCCCCCCCCCCCCCCCTCCAGTGACAAAACTACTTGACTCTTGAGCTGTTAGTGGAGCCTAGTGTTTAAGAGGGTATCAGTTAGTAATGTGTCGACAGTAGCTGGAGGAGCTTCGCGCCGCCATGCCCGCGATTTAGCATACCTGAATACTATTTTGAAAACATTTTCTTGTGTTTGAACACTATTAAGTTATAATGTCACTGTTTTACGATGTCAGTCCGATATCATACGTGCCCTAGGAACAATATCTGATTTAAGCAAATCAGCCAATCAGTATAATATTATAAATGTGCTCTAGAGATCTACAGATAATCAGTGTGCCTCATCAACATAACATAACTTGCATCATAACATCACTTGCTGGCAAAAGTTCAAAATTCCGCGGCTTTGTGGCCCTCCTTTGTTTGAGGTAATTGGCACCATGAGTGAACAATATCTGTATAACTGCTATTGTTTCTACTTGCCCTTGTTAAATAGTTGCAGACCAGAGGAGACTTGGAAGTTGAAAAATTGAGGTGAAGAATTCTTTATTGACTGCCGCTATTGTTTCTACTTGTCCAACTCGAAAAGTTGCAGATCAGAGGAGACTTGAGGAATTGAGAAACAACAGTCTTACACAGTCGTTAAATACCAGCAGACCAGAGGAGACTCGAGGAATTGAGGAATTTTTAAAATGTATGTAATCGGCAGTCAAACCATACAGCTAATGGACAATAACAATCAAAGATCATACAAATTCCCGAGATGCCAACAGTTTCCAACTTCCCCTCTTGAAGATCAACATGAGAACCAGTCGTAATACCTTCTAATAATATTGTTCCTAATATTGAGTAGTTTCGAATGGTATTATAAATCACTCTACACTGAACTATCACGTGACTAAGTTGGCCCATACTATGTAATGTCATCGGTAGATCAAATAGGAGGTACATGGATAATATCACTTTTCAATAACCTTTTTGATCCATCCAACAGGTTTTAATAGTTTCTACTTTTCTGCTGATTCTTAGTTCTGCATAATTTATATCGATTTTTTCTTGATTTTCTGAGCTACTTCAATTTCACCGGTGAAAGCTAACATAATAATTATTAGATGACGTTTGTATAATAAAATTCACCTTTCGCTGAAATACGGTTATCAGCGGTTAAATTTACCAAAAATTGTCACTCACAGATTGTACAGCTTCGCATACACCCCCTCCACCGTCCTGGCTCCGATGAGATGGGGTCGGGTAGCGTCTGACAAAGCACGCACTGATCAAGTGCACGAATAAATTGTGGAAAGTTGCTCTGATTAAGGCGTGCACAATATAATTAAATATAAAAACAGACCGATGGTCCATGCTTGTTTCTTGTAACTGATTTTGTAGGACCTGTTCTTCCATATATAATATAAATTGTGTGGTGGTTAATTTGTTACCATTGACCATTTTTCTTTTGGTTATGTTACTGTACTGCTTTGTTCAGTTGGGTTGACTCAAACTGTCATAGCGCTTTTAGTTTTTGGTTCTGATAATTTGTTTTGGTGTACTCTAAATTCAAACCCAAAATTATCGAAATGTCAAATAAAATAGCATCATTAAGTTACAAAAAACATTATAAAATATATCTCATAGCATTCACAGAATTCAAAACAAAGTCCCGTAACAGTAAGCAGGTCATAATTGTCTCCCCAACTCCGACCACATAATCCTCAAAACTCGGCAAGGTTCCAAACAGCGCTCCGCCAGGCTGACCAGTCTCCTGGAGTAGAACTTCCTCGTGTGTAGTGGAACTTTCGCTCTCTTATTAAGGATATCAGAAGTGTCTGAGAATGCAGGTCTGCCCGTCATACAGCCGTACAGAACACACCCGATAGCCCAGACACTGGCTTGAAGTGGGAAGTACTGAGGTTTGGAGAACGCTTCAGGAGGCAGACATGCAGTGGTGCCTCTGAGAAAGTTGAGAGGGTGTTTCGAAAGAGGTAGAGCAGTACCGAAGTCTATCAATTTGAGTTGGTTTGTCTTGGGATTGTAGAGGATATTCTCTTCCTTGATGTCTCCGTGGTCGATGTTGTTCTGAAGACAGTAATCCACAACTGTGTACAGCTGCTCTGCTATGTTCAGTACGGTCTTCTCGGTAAGTTTGCACTTTCGAGTCAAGGTGTGCAGATCACTGAATCCTGGCTCGTATTCCATCAGCAGATACCATTCTCCCTTAAAGAGGAAGTGGGTTTTATACTTCACTACATTGGGGTGATGTAGTGATCTTAGTGTCGCTATTTCTAGTGGTAGTTCTGTCCCGTCCTGATAAACCATAGGAAGGTCTGGATGATCTCTGAATATCTTGACCACGTATCTGTTGAGGGATATGTTGTGCTGTGTAAGGTACACTGTACCATTACCTCCTGCTCCAAGTTGCTTGATAACGATTAAATCTCTTAGAAGGGTTGAGGATAACATTTTGTTTCGTAGAAAAGAGGTATCTCGTATCTTTTATACTGGTAGGGACGAGCAACTTTGAAAGAAAACAAATTCAAGTTTGAAAGAACTGGTACGTCTTCTTTGAAAGGACGAATTTAATCAGTCGATACTCGTTATCACGTGACCAACATGTTTTCTATGTGGATCTGACAGTCTAACGGGCGATCCAAAACCCTAGCCGTCTATTCTGACCACAACCTTAACCCAAGCAATAAGCATTAACCAAACCCTAATAATCCTAATAACCCTTGAACACCTATTCTGTGTGGTTCTGACGACCAAAATCCTAGCCCTTTATTAATTGACCTCAACCCTAATACAAGCTAATTATTATTCAGTTTCACCTCAAGTCTCCACTGGTCTGCAGTTATTTAACAATTAGGGCAAGTTGAAACAATAGTAGTTATACAGTTAATTGCTAACTCATGGTGCCAAGTATCCCAAACGAAGGAGGACCACAAAGCTATGAAATTTGGAAGCTGAACCAAGTTCGTGTCTCGCCAGGTTCCGCCAGAGGGCCTGCTCGTGATAGATGAAGCATCATCTCTTGGTTGCAGTGGGCCACTGCCCAGGTGACTTCGACAGTTCGACAGCGTTAATCACTCATCACAGATTGAGGTTCGACCCCAAAGCATGTCAGTGTCGTAAACGTTCCGTTGCATGTTCAGCTTATCAGAGTAAACTGAGTAGGGTGAGAATGGCCGAATGGGGTATAGTGCTCCGGACAGTAGAGTCGTTTATAAGAGAAATTAGAAAAACACTTTCCGCAGCAAAGTTTAATGACACATTTCCTGTAGGAATTCTCATCACACTTTTCCAGGCAGTAGCTGTAACTGCTGTATCGATGCTACTATTGTACCTTCATGGGCTTATATAATATATACCACTGCAACGTGCGAGTATGTTATCCCGATCAGATGCCAATGTGAGCCGATAGCGTGCAGCAACAGAGGTGCACCAGTGCGTGCCATGGGATCATGAAAGAACAAGAAAAATCGGTCCCCATTAAGTTTAACACCACATAATGTGAGTCGTTGGATCACAAGCAGAAAATGGAGGGAACAATTGTGTCGAACGCTACCTGGACTCTAGTTCGACACGTACCGGAGTTCGACAGTGGTGATTTCTGACGAACTTTAGTACATGTCGGTCGTCGGACTACAGTACGTTATTTCGAGCAAGTGCTGTTATGTTGAGGAGGCACTGCTTCGCTGAAATACTCAAGGGAGGGAGTTCAAAGTTTCTAAATCAACCAATTAGGTTTAGTTCGAGTTTAAAATTATCTTGAAGTAAGTGATATATTGGTTCCTCTTAAAAGAGTGAGATTCCGTAGTTTTGTTATTGGGTGACAACTGACAGGGAATTGTAACAAACCGATTTGTTTAAAAGTTTTATTTAATAAGCGACTCTTCACTACCGTGACCGTCGCTTGTTACAATTTGTTACATTTGTTTTATTAAATAATTGTTTTATTAACCAAAAGTTTACTATCTAGAGTAGGACTAGGAGTTGGGCACACAACTTACCCTCAAGTATGAGGTTTCTGATGTGTAGAAAGAACTGTAACCGTGTAACTTGGTTAACAAACTTATGGGGAGAGGGAGGGTAAAACTTTACAGCTAACTTCAGGGTGACAGCAGGAGAAGTCGGAGCGTCTGATTTCCACTTGTCAGGAGCGTATAACTTGAGTTTGTGGTCGGAAGGTACGAACTCAAACACTCCCTTAGCGGGGGAGTAAAGGAGCCCGAATAAGGAGCCATCTTCTATTGCTAGACGCTTGATAACGGTAGAGAATACTGACTTTATCGTGTCGTCCCGCTGAAGTTGGAAGATGATTTTAAAAGCGGAGAATAGTGCAACTAAGTAGTGTATTACAACCATCATGAAAACAGAGTAAACCGGCCTGAAAACTCAAGGTAGGAATGTACAGTTAGTATTATCTAAACCTACATAATCAGTGGAATACACGGTTAGAAGACACTGTTAACACACGGTTAACACACGGTTAACACACGGTTAACACACGATTAACACACGGTTAACACACGGTTAACACACGGTTAACACACGGTTAACACACGGTTAACACACGGTTAACAAGCGGTTAAAAAACGGTTAAAAAACGGTTAACACACGATTAAAGAGGTTAAAATTTCACCTGAGCTGGGATCTGGAAGCGTTTATTGGAGGGAAACTGTATGATAACGGGTTTACCAGTGCGCCTCATCGTCTGAAGCTGAAAACAAGCAAATTTACGTTTTATAAGATACAGACGCTGTTGTGAAACCCTAAACGATAGCTAAGGGTTATAGTTTTGTGCCCTTTTAAGGAATAAAGCTGTGATAATTCGATGAAAAACGGGCACCAGGTCGGCCGTCTACAATTTCCAATCACATGACACGTGCATGCAGATGTAAACAGATTGCAAAATTTCCGTTCATAATAAAACTCAACAGACCTCAGGATCAACAATAACTGGACTTGGCAAGTCATGGAGTTTTCGGGGAGGCTTCTTCACCGGTGTAAGAAGGTACGGGGAATCAAAGTTAGCACTCATAATACCAACTGTATTTGTGGTAATTATAGTATAATAAAAATAATTACAAGATAGTGTTAACGACCAATTGTATCAACACATTTGCAGAGTTAATATAAACAAACAAGCGCGATCTGTGATGGGTCGTGTGGGTGTTGTGTTATTTTCTATGTGGGGTATAGCAGCAAATGCAATCAATGACACACCAAATTCCTTTGTAAGTGTGCTGTGCGAGGATACGCCGTACATTTAACACATAATATCTCCGATATATGATATCTGGAGGCGATCAGTCCAGAGGCACGAGATTGAGAAACGGCTCCTAGTTATAAATAACAAATGTGATTGGCGTAAGTAAAGAGTAGGTTTAAGTGAACGGTAGTACAGACTTGACACCATATGTGGTGACGCCATAAACATCGGACAGCGATTTATTTATCACAGATAACACTATATATAATATGCAATTTCCAGGTTTCAGTGCCCTAGTACGATTACCGTTACTGCTCGACATCAATTCTCGAACCATCTACACCAATTATTTCGCGGTACCTAGCAATTTATTTTTCGGCATTTCCATATGCCGTTGAGAATAAAACGAAAAAATCAGTGCTCGTTTGGTAATTAGATGCTTGTATTGACGCAATAAATAAATGGAGTAGTGTTTTCAGAAGGAGGAGGATCAGGAAGAAGCTCACCTGAACTGGCTGGCTAGATTCCGAGCTGGTGGCAGATATAGAAGTATCTAGTCTGAACCCATCTACTCGACCTGAACTCGACTGAAACAAATGTCGGTTAGAATATGCAAGATACTGATATTATGTTTTGATTTGATCAATGTTTGGAATTTGATATTCACATATTATTTGATAATTGATATGCAGCAACACTTTAAAATTGAGTTAAATTTACATAATCAATCGATATTGGAGGAATCTGTATAAATATATGATAAAATTCGATGTTCTAAGTGTAACCTTGATGTCGTTGTGGGTGGCTGGACAAAACGAATTTGAAAAATAGTTATGATCTAAAATTCGATGTTTTACAGTAATTGTAGCATTGGTGTCGTTGTGGGGGGGCAGACATTTCGAGTGGGCCGGAGAGTTGAGAAGAAAAAATATCAACACCTTTGAAACATAGCAATGAAAGGGTGGGCATAGAATCTAATGCTGGTCTGGCGGTCAGCCCCTTCTATTACGATTTACGAGGGGTCGATTTATTTTATATACCCAACATAGTCTAATGGGTCCAGGCAGGGACTCCTTTAAGGACACAATGAAGAGACAAAATGAGTTCAATTAAGCAGTTCTTGGAAGTCAATAGCGGTTATTCCAAAAAAAGAGGGAATATCATAACGCTGTATTGACAGTATCGAGCTGTCTGCACGAACAGTAGCAGGATATTTGGTGAAATTTTTGTGGGGTTTTTTACATTCAGGATAAGGTTTTATCTGTTACTCATCTTTATATTTATCCTACTACAATGATAAAGATTCCCGGAGACTAAATAAAACCACAACCCTTTTAGAAGCAGCAGAAATTAAAAGTCATTGAAATCTCTATGGTTTTAAAAACATGTTGTAGATATCCTCAAACTAACTTATTTGAATATTTCTGTTCAAAATGAATTAACTTAGGTAATTATTGCTGGGAAATGTGATGGGATGGTAAAAGGTATCACAATAAAACTTACAAACAGATAATACATATTATGAACTTACATCTTCACTCTGCCATGTAGTGATGCTCGTAAAACTCATAATTTCAACTAAAATAAATCCAACGAATTTTAAATAAAAAGAACAGATTAAGCAAAGATATTTCCCCAAAATATAGCTCAAAATGAAAAATAATGACGTAGGAAGCTTCAAAATGCTGGCCAACATGCAAAGTTCACTCAGCTCAATTGATGACACACGCTTATAACGTATTAGAACGACTAATGACGCTGATCGCTTTGAGAGTATAATATGGTCCCATTACTAATGTGAGTAAGAACTAGCAATTACTAGAAAGTCCAAAAAAAATGTGCACATTATATTACCATCCATGGGGATTTGAATACACCTGGGAGTAGAAGGAAGTGACACAGTTCAAACCCTGGGTATGAAATAAACTGTGCATCCAATTTCGCGAAACCAAGAGAAAAATCAAGAACCAGAGAATAGAAATGAACTGTCATGAGTGAGAACTAATATGGCCTGATGAATTTGGTAAACACTAGATATGAATAGTAAATGGTATGTAGAAGAGTTATCGTGTACTCACGCTTTTCTTCATAGATCTAGCCTTGTCGCTGAAATTTAGTATTTAAGTTCTCCTCAAAGAAGTAAATTCAATGCTTACCGAGCGATTTGGCCGTTTTACCACTGTGAACGGGTGCTGTACCATCGTGCTGGCGGCAAAACTTAAATTGCTTCAAGAATAAAATATAAACGCGCGTGCCATTATTTATTATATATTTAACCACATTTATTGGGCACAGCAATCAGTCCATGCGCGTTACGTAAAACAAATCCGCGTACGGTACCAACAGAAGGACTTTCGACAAATCTGTTCCAAATAAAAAGATCGAAAATCGAGTGTTTTAGTGAATAACTTAGAATATAATTTTGATTTTCTCAAGATCTGACTGATAGATTTTCTTTAAACTTTCCAGATAGTTACATGGCTATATGACAGATAATGTGTGACAGTTTGGGAGAATTTCTATGTGCCAAAATGGAGATATGACTTCAAACACAAGAAAATATCTCAAAATGGCGGTTTCTAGCGGAACGCAGGCACATATTTCAAGATCCTACCGATAAATTTTCTTTAAACTTTCCAGATAGTTGTATGGCTATAAGACAGATAATCTGTGCGATTTTGGGCGAGTTTCTATGTGCCAAATTTGAGATGTGACTTCAAACACAAGAAAATATCTCCAAATTGGCGATTTCTAGCGGAAAAAAGTCATATATCTCGAGATCTGAATGATAGAATTTTTTAAAACTTTCCAGATTGTTACATGGCTATAATACGGATAATCTGAGCGAGTTTGGGCGAATTTTTATGTGCCAAACTTGAGATATGACTTCAAACACAAGAAAATATCTCAAATTGGCGCATTCTAGCGGAACGCAGGCATATATTTCGAGATCTGAATAATAACATTTCTTTAAACTTTCCAGATAGTTACATGGCTATAAGACGGATAATCTGAGCGAGTTTGGGCGAATTTCTATGTGCCAAACTTGAGATATGACTTCAAACACAAGAAAATATCTCAAATTGGCCCGTTCTAGCGGAACGCAGGCATATATGCAGGAGGAGGTGTAGGGGGAAGAGGACTCAGGAGGAGGTGGACTTAGAAGGAGGAGGACTGAGGAGAAGGAGGAGGAGGAGGAGGAGAAAGAGGTGGAGGAGGAAGAGGACTGAGGAGGATGTGGAGTGTGGACTCAGGAGGAGGAGGACTCAGGAGGAGGAGGAGGATGGGGACTTAGGAGGACTGAGGAAGAGGAGGAGGAGGAGGTGGAGGAGGAAGAGGACTCAGGAGGAGGAGGACTCAGGAGGAGGAGGACTCAGGAGGAGGAAGACTCAGGTCTCAGGAGGAGGATAAGGACTCAGGAGGAGGACTCAGGAGGAGGAGGACTCAGGAGGAGGAGGAAGATGAGGATGAGGAAGACTGAGGAGGAAAAGAAAGACTGAGGATGAGAAGGAGGACTGAGGAGGAGGAGGAGGAGGAGGGGATGAGGGGGAGGAGGAGGAGAAGACGACTGATGAGGAGCCAGGAGGAGGAGAAGGACTGAGGAGGAGGAGGAGGACTGAGGAGGATGAGGAGGAGGAAGAGAAGGAGGAGAAGGAGGTGGACGAGGAGGAGGACTGATGAGGAGGACGAGGAAGGGATGAGGGGGACGAGGGAGAGGAGGAGGAGGAGAAGGAGGTGGGGGAGGAGGACTCAGGGGGACTCAGGAGGAGGAGGATTCAGGAGGGAAAGGAAGAGGAGGAGGACTGAAGAGGAGGATGAGGAGGGAATGAGGGGGAAGAGGAGAAGAAGGAGGTGGAGGAGGAGGAGGAGGAGGAGGAGGAGAAGGAAGTGGAGGAGGAGAAGGAGGTGGAGGAGGAGGACTGAAGAGGAGGAGGAGGACTGAGGAGGAGGAGGAGGAGGGGATGAGGGGGAGGAAGGAGAGGAGGGGAAGGAGGAGGAGGATAAGGAGGAGGTGGGGCAGGAGGACTGATGAGGAGGAGGAGGAGGACTGACGAGGAGGAGGACTAAGGAGAAGGAGGAGGTGGAGGACTAAGGAGAAGGAGGAGGAGGATGAATCAGGAGGAGGAGGAGGAGGAGGAAAAGGAGGACTGGGATGAGGGGGAGGTGGGAGATAAGGTGGAGGAGGAGGACTCAGGAAGAGGAGGACTCAGGAGGAAGAGGTGGATGAGGAAGAGGACTCAGGAGGAGGTGAACTCAGGAGGAGGAGGACTCAGGGATACTCAAGAGGAGGAGGACTCAGGAGGAGGAGGAGGATGATGATGAGGAGAACTGAGGAGGAGGAGGAGGGGATGAGGGGAGGGAGAGGAGGAGGAAGATGAGGAAGAGGAGGTGGATGAGGAGGATGAGAAAGAGGAGGATGAGGTGGAGGAGGAGGACTGATGAGGAGGAGGAGGACTGATGAGGAGGAGGAGGACTGATGAGGAGGACGAGGAGGAGTATGACTTAGGAGGAGGAAGACTGAGGAGGAGGAAGAGAACGCGCCAATTTAAGATATTTTCTTGTGTTTAAAGTCATATCTCGAGTTTGACACATAGAAATTCGCCCAAACTCGCTCAGATTATCCGTCTTATAGCCATGTAACTATTTAACTATCTAGAAAGTTTAAAGAAAATTTACAGTAGGATCTCGAACATATGTGCCTGCGTTCCGCTAGAAACCGCCATTTTGAGATATTTTCTTGTGTTTGAAGTCATATCTCAGGTTTAACAGATAGAAATTCGCCCAAAATCGCACAGAATATCTGTCTCACAGCTATGCAACTATCTGGAAAGTTTAAAGAAAATTTATCAGTAGGATCTCGAAATATGTGCCTGCATTCCGCTAGAAACCGCCATTTTGAGATATTTTCTTGTGTTTGAAGTCATATCTCAGGTTTGGCACATAGAAATTCGCCCAAACTTGCTCAGATTATTTGTCTCATAGCCATACAACTATCTGGAAAATTTTAAGAAAATTTATCAGTAGGATCTCGAAATATGTGCCTGCATTCTGCTACAATGCGCCAATTTGAGATATTTTCTTGTGTTTGAAGTCATATCTCAGGTTTGGCACATAGAAATTCGCCCAAAATCGCACAGAATATCCGTCTCACAGCCATACAACTATCTGGAAAGTTTAAAGAAAATGTATCAGTAGGATCTCGAAATATGTGCCTGCGTTCCGCTAGAAACGGCCATTTTGAGATATTTTCTTGTGTTTGAAGTCATATATCAGGTTTGGCACATAGAAATTCGCCCAAAATCGCACAGAATATTCGTCTCATAGCCATACAACTAGCTGGAAAGTTTAAAGAAAATTTATTAGTAGGATCTCAAGATAATCGACTTTCGTGAAATATTGTTCCGAAACCGCCAATTTGAGATGTTTTCATGAGTTTGAAGTCATATCTCAAGTTTGGCACATAGAAATTCTCCCAAACTTGCTCAGATTATCTGTCTCATAGCCATACAACTATCTGGAAAATTTATCAGTAGGATCTCGAAATATGTGCCTGCGTTCCACTAGAAACCGCCATTTTGAGATATTTTCTTGTGTTTGAAGTCATATCTCAGGTTTGGCACATAGAAATTCGCCCAAACTTGCTCAGATTATCTGTCTCATAGCCATACTACTATCTGGAAAGTTTAAAGAAAATTTATCAGTAGGATCTTGAAATATGTGCCTGCGTTCCGCTAGAACGCGCCAATTTGAGATATTTTCATGTGTTTGAAGTCATATCTCAGGTTTGGCACATAGAAATTCGCCCAAAATCGCACAGAATATCGGTCTCATAGCCATACAACTATCTGGAAAGTTTAAAGAAAATTTATCAGTAGGATCACGAAATATGTGCATGCGTTCCGCTAGAAACCGCCATTTTGAGATATTTTCTTGTGTTTGAAGTCATATCTCAGGTTTGGCAGATAGAAATTCGCCCAAAATCGCACAGAATATCCGTTCCATAGCCATACATCTATCTGGAAAGTTTAAAGAAAATTTATCAGTAGGATCTCAAAATAATCGACTTTCGTCAAATATCGTTCCGAAACCGCCAATTTGAGATGTTTTCATGAGTTTGAAGTCATATCTCAAGTTTGGCACATAGAAATTCGCCCAAACTTGCTTAAATTATCCGTCTCATAGCCATACAACTATCAGGAAAGTTAAAAGAAAATTTATCAGTAGGATCTCAAGATAATCGACTTTCGTCAAATATTGTACCAAAACCGCCAGTTTGAGATTTTTTCTTGTGTTTGAAGTCATATCTCAGGTTTGGCACATAGAAATTCGCCCAAAATCGCACATAATATCTGTCTCACAGTCATACAACTATCTGGAAAGTTTAAAGAAAATTGATCAGTAGGATCTCGAAATATTAGCCTGCGTTCCGCTAGAACGCGCCAATTTGAGATATTTTCTTGTGTTTGAAGTCATATCTCAAGTTTGGCACATAGAAATTCGCCCAAACTTGCTCAGATTATCTGTCTCATAGCCATACAACTATCTGGAAAGTTTAAAGAAAATTTATCAGTAGCATCTCAAAATAATCGACTTTCGTCAAATATTGTTCCGAAACCGCCAATTTGAGATATTTTCTTGTGTTTGAAGTCATATCTCAAGTTTGGCACATAGAAATTCGCCCAAAATCGCACAGAATATCCGTCTCATAGCCATACAACTATCTGAAAAGTTTAAAGGAAATTTATCAGTAGGATCTCGAAATATGTGCCTGCGTTCCGCTAGAAACCGCCATTTTGAGATATTTTCTTGTGTTTGAAGTCATATCTCAAGTTTGGCACATAGAAATTCGCCCAAAATCGCACATAATATCCGTCTCATAGCCATACAACTATCTGGAAAGTTTAAAGAAAATTGATCAGTAGGATCTCGAAATATTAGCCTGCGTTCCGCTAGAACGCACCAATTTGAGATATTTTCTTGTGTTTGAAGTCATATCTCAGGTTTGGCACATAGAAATTCGCCCAAAATCGCACAGAATATCCGTCTCATAGCCATACAACTATCTGGAAAGTTTAAAGAAAATTGATCAGTAGGATCTCGAAATATTAGCCTGCATTCCGCTAGAACGCGCCAATTTGAGATATTTTCTTGTGTTTGAAGTCATATCTCAGGTTTGGCACATAGAAATTCGCCCAAAATCGCACAGAATATCCGTCTCATAGCCATACAACTATCTGGAAAGTTTAAAGAAAATTTATCAGTAGGATCTCAAGATAATCGACTTTCGTCAAATATTGTTCCGCGGAACATACGGAACAGAAAGTCCAACTCGGTACCAATAATGACACTAGTTTTGAATTGAGATTAAAATTAAAGAAGCTAAACTAACCCGGTCCGTATCTTCTGGACAGTAGTGTACATGCGATCCAGGTCAGTAGGAGTATGAATACATTTACCAGCAGCACACCCTGTCTTACATCTGGATTTAGCAGTCCCGTATGGGTTATCTGGTTCCGAACTTGATATACTTGAATCACGAACTGGAGCTTTTACTGGATCGGATTTCCTATTAAATACAATGAGTTGTTTGTTCCAACGTTGCAATTTGAATACCATGTGGTACCCTACATTAGATTAGCTATAAATAGTCTAATCTTAACTGTCAATTTAATCGATAAAAAAATTGATTTTATTACATGTGACGTTACTGAACTATAACGTTTAAAAAAATTGATGCTTTGAACTTGACATACTTGGTTTGAAGATCAAGGTCGTCAGCAGTAGAGTACGTATCATCAATACTAGGACTAATAGATACAGCCAGAGGAGAAGTACCCCTGCTGTCTGTTTTCGGTCTGGGACGTTATCAGTAAGTACAATTTTAATTTATTATTACTCTTATTTAAAGCGTACGAAGTGTTCATGACGTGCAAGCTGTTTATTCAGATAAAATTGTATTTTGAAACTTATTAACCTCCTGTTCTCAAGATCCATCTCATTAGCGTTGGAATAATTACAATCTTCCTGTTGTTCTGATTTACTCCTGATAAAGTAATCTACTATCATGTCCTGTGTTGCAGTGGCTATTGCACGACACCTTGTAAAATTAGATCGAAACGTGTAAAGGTATAAGCCACACTTTTTGTAATAATTGTAACGGAATCTTTACATTTTTCCCACACATAGCAAACCATGTTTGTCCCACATACCTAGCTGGGCTATTTGTGATTTCGTTTGTAGAGTAAGGATCCACTTCTACCCCCATATCTTCATATGTACTGTACGGGTTAATTTCCTCTTCTTCGTTATTCATTTCACTGGGTTTCACTCTTTTAGTTCAAGAATATCATATACATAATGTTGTATATAAATATATGCATATGTATAATGGAAATTGTAACGATATTCAACTTTTCTGGCCATCGGTTCTTTCGTCTTTTCAGACTATAATTGAATGATAGGTTATCATGTTACAACTTATTACTCACTGAACTTCACCACTAGCCACGCTTACTACACCGTTCCTGAATGTTCCATATTTTAATTAAAATTTCAGTAGTAGGTGACATAGTGATATGTTTGATTTGACTGTTTTTATGTTTCGGAAATCCTATGGAATCGATAATGCTCTTCGAATGAACTAATTAAGCGAATGATGACTCAATTTATGCGCGTCATACGCTATCGTTGCTATGGATTGGGTTACAAACTCAGCCAAAATGTAAACCTTGAGACCTTAAAGTGCCCTACCTAGATTCAACTGTCAAACTGTGTATATGAAACCTAATAGCTGCTAATAAAATACGGATATGATTCATAATAAGCAGAAGTATGTTGATTGCTGATGGGCAACAAATTGATGATTATCCAATACCCACCAATGAAAACTCATTATATCGAACAATTGCACCATCCTACTAATTAACAAAAACTTAATTCTGGCAACAAAACAAACCTCTCGATATCAGACGTGGTCTCCTTGGCAGGGCTACTCCTGGAGATGTTGCTGGAACTGCTCTGAGATTTGCTGTAGCCAGTGTTGGGGATGGTATCAAAACTTGGAGGAAGAGGAGGAGGAAGAGGGGGAGTGGGTAGAACTAGAGCCTTGCCGCCTCTAAGTGGACGTTTTACTGCATCCATCGAGTTCTGGGGTTGACAGATGCGATAAATGATATATAAAAGCAACTATTTAGGGGCCCTATTTAAACGGTTGTGAAACAATAAATTATTTATTACTATAAATTATGTTGATATTTATTGCAAAACTGCTATTAAGTTTATAAACTCAATAGTAGCTTTGCTTAGGTAAGGTAATCATGATTAAACATTCTTTGCGCAAAAGACGTGGAGAATGGTTGGAAGTGGAGAAAAGTTGGAAAGCGTTGGAAGATTGTTTTCTCGCGTGACAGCGATTAATCAACATCGACTAATTAAATTCTCCAAGTACTGTCATGTGTCAAAAAAACTTGCACTTCCCCACTATTACCTACGTCCATAAAATTGCATAATGCGAGGAAGCTACCCTTCAACTATTCCTACTTTCAGAATGGATCAATATATTTTGGCGATGAAACGCATATTGTACACTAAATACTACTCCACAAAAACTCCTATGACCTATAAGTTAGATAAATGACAAGTTTAGTTTTTACGGACCGTTGCCAGGTAACAGTGACTACACAATACGACTACCCATTTTTGATCAATACAGGAAACTTGTGAGCACGAGACTCAGCTAATGGTATGACAGCACCTCTCTGGGGAATTAATTTACAGATATTTAATTTCGTCAATTCGGGAGAATTGGGCTTTCTGTACAGTCTTTCTCCAGAAACGCTCATTTACAAAACGCTTAATCTAAGATGGATAGTAAATATTCTTCTCTGTAAGTCTGGAGTGTTATTTAAAATACTTTTTACGCAACAATATTGCATGGCATTCCTATTCAAGCATATGATAGGTGCAAGGGCCAATAGGGCAGGACTTAATAAAAATCCCTCACAATCGTTACATCAGTAGTCAGTACCATACTTAGTTTCATCTAATTTCGCTTATTCTGATCGAGCTTTTATTCTGTCAGATGTGGCTAAATTTCATGTGATAGCTGCATTTGTCTCAGTACAAACAAACAAACAGGAGACATTCAAACATTTATTGAGAAAGAAACAAAACGAAACGAAACTTAGTACCCCGCTCCAATGCGACAAAGATATCGTATAAGTCATAAGATAACTAAATAATTTGCACAATAGGGTGCCCATGTCTGAGCTGATCTCCTCAAAAACATTCTCTCCTCATCGGAGCAAAAAATTTAAAAACAAACACGGGTCTCATAGTTTGACTTACAAAATGAAGAATGAAACCGTCTCTTAACGAAATCAGAATAACAACAGTCTACTTGAAAGTGTACCACAACGTGATGTATTCAATAAACAAATAAACTAATAAACATAATATTCACGTAGAGGAAAATATACCACTCGGCAGTGTAATGTACAATTTCTCGTCAGATAGACTAAAAACGAGTTTTCGCATTGTTTATAGTCATATCCATAGTATAACAGCAAAATGAACATCTTTTCTAAATCGATGGGCACCAGATATCAATCTTGGTAATGGTATACTGAGAATTAATACGTCTACCTAACCAGCCTTGCAACGCCACAGAAAACTATTGACTAAAACAGGGATCAACCCCCTAACAGATCAGTATACACTATACAATATACATTGTATAGTGTATATAACCGGTAATACACACGGACACACAAGAGCAAGGTACACCTCTCTACTACAAAGTGAAATAATTGGATCGTTATAGCATTATAGGGAGCGAGATAGGAGAGCTACCACTCACACATACTCACACACACAATAGTTTAAATATAAGATATGCTACATAATCCATCATTACCACGAGGAAGTTAAGATTGAATCTCCTCAAACTCTGCACACTGTACAAATATCTAGCCCAACTATCTAGCCGGGCTAAGAGAGAACATTCGAGAACTGTTTGAGAAGATTTAGAGTACTCACTACTGAGAGGTGCGACTATTCATGTACTAAACTTCGTCACAGTTATTCATTACCATACTGATTCCTCGTGTGCCTGCCCAGCGCCCGTGTGAGTCAATCCGCAGGCTCTGCTGTGTATAAACTGTACAAAGGCTCCATAGTTAATATAACCCTTTATTAGACAGAGAGCAGAATATGATCACCAGAAAGTCTATCCCAGTCTAAATATTACTCCAATCATAAGAGTAGGTTAATTGAGACAACATTATTGTCCAGCCTATAAAATACACTACGTAGTCACTATAGCGATACACCCGGGCTAAACTATTACTATTGCACATAGTAAACTGCTATTAGAGTAGTAACAACATAACTATTACTATTGCACACAGTAAACTGCTATTAGAGTAGTAACAACACAACTATTACTATTGCACACAGTAAACTGCTACTAAAGTACTGTAACAACATGTGGATTACTATAAAGAAGAGTAACTTGGTAGTTTCCCCGACATATACTGAAGACTACACTTACAACAGTTTGTTAGATGGTACACACTGTTATCCACCCTCCACTGTTAGAGTGGGTAAGAGTGTTCAGACGTGAGGGCGGCTACAGTGATACGAGACAGTTATTAACACTTGGCTACAAGATCTTGTGGAGCGACCTGAAGTTCTCCGGTCATAAAATACTACCCAGTGCTACAGACAAACCATCGTGACAGTTGCCCTGACAGTAGCGTGGAAATAGGAAGCAAATCAGAACGAAGAAGATCTACAGAGGGCCCAAGCTTCCCTCCAGGGCGGGCTGATAACTGCTCACAGAATGTACGAGATCGAAACTAGGAAACTGTTAATGATCCGCCTGACCGGAAGGGGACTACTCCAGAATTGGAGCCAATACAAAATGAATTTGATTCATTATCGTGTTAGTTTAGGGTAGGATGTAGATTGTAGATAGGGAATAGGGATACAATACAATCACTACTTTACAATCTTATCTTGGTTACATCATGTTTAATACTTCATTACTCTATCTATAATAAGTTTAATCTTGATAATTCTTCCTCATAGTTAGTTTGACGCAAGTTTAACGCTGACACCCGTTCTAGGTGGGTAATTTCAAAAGATTCCACCCTAGACGCTGGTATTTGCAAGTTTGCCAAGGACTTTGCAGGGATTCTGACTTTCACATTTTTCCTTCATTCCCAGAGAATTACCAGTCCTAGAAATTTATCGTACCAATTACCATCGTTCTTGATGTCCTAATTCCTATCAAGCTAAGAAGATGTCAGGATCAGTTCATTTGTAGCTGTGTGATGTATGCCACGAGGGAACAATGAACATGATCCTTGGTAGTATAGTATGCTCATTATACAAATACAATCACTAATTATCTTCAGTTTCTCCTATACATTCACATTCTTACCAGTATAGGGACAGCAATCTCGAGGTATTATTAGATAGACTGGATCACCCCGTAGCTAATGAGCTCTTGTTAGAATGTAGTCTCTACAAATATGTATATTCTAGATCAAATGGAAGACATTCTCTCTCATTCTTGCTCTTTCTACTTTCGCAGACACCCCAAGAACCCATCTTCAGCTCCAGCTAGTTCGACTTATTTGCATATAGACTATAGAGCGATGGAAATACTCGTGTATGAAGACCTGTGACAGTGAATAACCAATCAGATTTTAGCAATCATACAAACCAATCAGAACACAGAAGCACAGTCACGTGTCAAAAAATTTGGTCCACCTTTATGTTCGAATAGTTCTTCTTCAAGAAGAACTAGACTTCTTGTGAAGAACGATTAGCTGATAGCTGATAACTGATAACGTTTTTACATTCCAAGGAAACTTCGAATGGTATAAAGCAACTAAAGTCACTACCCCACATCTATTAAAAATGAGCCCCTACCGGCTACCAGGGCAAGCAGTTTAGTTAAGGAACTGCTTACAGGCCCATTGTAATTAAACCCGTTTTTAAGAGATAGGCAGTGAAGCAAAATGTTTTGAGGAGTAGCTTGAGTGAACAAATTATTTGCTAACCCAGAGTGCACATTTACAGAAGATCTGATTTGGACAACATAACAAATAAAATAAAATATCATAAACCGGAGATCAACCTCTTCACCTAGTACGGCTTGTGTTTAACCTAGAACTTATTTTACTTTTACAGCGACACGTGAAAATATTAACATAAGTCATGTAAATATGGTAAATATGCAGACAAGTGAAAGCCGTTTTAAACGGATGACGCACACTGAAGATATTAAATAGTTAGCGTAAGTTATTAATACAAGGCTAAATTTATTTTTATTAAAGAAAGATTTGGTGACTAGGTCACGTTTGGGACGTTTTTCTTTGAATTCTCCTAAATTTCACAAATAGAAACCTTCTTAATTATTTGTTTAAATAATCTCAATTATTGCAGTAAAAAAGAGATAAGGCAAAAAGTTACACTAGGCGATCCTGTAGTTTATAATATAAACTTTATATGGTAACAAATTTGAGAATCGTTCAACAAATCCCTATGTTTTCGTCCCTCACTTAATATGTTGCTGACGAATTTACCATATACATAACAGCTAAATCACAAATTTCAAACCACCATTGTTCGATCACCAGACATCTCTGACATAAAAATAATATAACGTATGCATCCATATTCCCATATTATACAGTAAAACCCCGATTTAACGCGCCCGATTTACCGCAAACCCCGATTTATCGCGGCCATTTCCTTTCCCCCAACATGTAAAATGTAAACAAACAAAACCTCGATTTACCGCGGATGTTTCCTTTTCCCAAACTCCGCGGTAAATCGGGGTTTTACTGTAACGAGTAAGCTATCTGCCAGTTGACAATAACGATCAATATTAGCCATCGAAACCGTGACAATAAACGGAGGCCAACTAACAGTAAAGCAGTAACATAGGGGGGGGTGTCATGTCCGTCTATGTCCGCCTATGTCCTGTCCTTTTTGGATTCTATGAGACAACGGACGTGTTTTTTGGGACATTGGCGGACACGGACGGACATTGGCGGACTCGGACGGACATTGGTGGACTCGGACGGACATTTGCAGACCCGGACGGACATTGGCGGACTCGGACGGACATTGGTGGACATTAGCGGACATTGGTGGACATTAGCGGACAAACATTTTGAGAAATTTTCGCAACTTCTATGTATTATAATTTTGTACAAAACAAACGACTTATTAATCACACTAAAGCTATTAATAGCTTTAACTTATTATATCAAATTATATAGGGACCCAGGAAAAGGCCCCAGGAGGAGTAGGAGGAGGAGGAGGACTGGGGAGGAGGAGGACTGTTGAGGACTGATGAGGAGGACTGAGGACGAAGAGGAGGAGTAGGAGGAGGACTGAGGAGGGGAGGAGGAAGAGGACTGGGGAGGATCAGGAAGACCCAGGAGGAGGACCCAGGAGGAGGAGCCTGGAGGAGGAGGAGGAGGACTGAGGAGGATGACTCAGGAAGAGGAGGACTCAGGAGGAGGACTCAGGAGGACTGAGAAGGAGGAGGACTGAAGAGCACTGAAGAGTACTGAGGAGGATGGCTGAGGAGGATGGCTGAGGAGGATGGCTGAGGAGGATGACTGAGGAGGATGACTGAGGAGGATGACTGAGAGAGAGGAGAAGGATCAGGAAGACCCAGGAGGAGGAGGAGGACCCAGAAGGAGGACCTAGGTGGAGGAGGAGGAGAACTGAGGAGGATGACTGAGGAGGAGAAGGACTCTATTTCTATCACAGTTATACATTTTACTTAAATAAGATTATTTGCTTTAGTAATATTCTAAAAGTAGAATTAAAGAAAAGTAAGGAAAAGTCGATATAAGATAAACTATATAGTGTTGTCATTATATAGTGCGTTTTGCAGACTATATAATGACAAAGATCAGCTGTCATTATAAAGTGCTTGTCATTATATAGTGTTGTCATTATATAGTGTGATTACCGGAGGACTCAGGAGGAGGACTTAGGAGAAATGAGAAGGAGGACTGAGGAGAACTGAGGAGGAGGAGGAGGAGGAGGACTGAATAGTGAATAGGAGGAGGAGAAATAGGGGGGACTGGGAGAGGACTGAGGAGGAGGAGGACTGATGAGAAGGATGAGGAGGAGGACTGAGGAGGAGGACTGAGGAGGAGGACTGAGGACTGAGGAGGAAGAGGAGGAGGATGAAGAGGAGGAGGAGGACCCAGGAGGAGGACTGAGGACGATGGCTGAGGAGGATGACTGAGAGGGAAGAGGAGGAGGAGGAGTAGGACTCAGGAGGAGGAGGACTGAGGAGGACTGAGAAGGAGGAGGACTGAGGAGGAGGAGGAGGAGGAGGAGGACTGAATAGGAGGAGGAGGGGGACTGGGGGAGGACTGAGGAGGAGGATGGAGGACTGAGGAGAAGGATGAGGAGGGGGACTGAGGAGGACTGAGGAGGAAGAGGAGGAGGATGAAGAGGAGGAGGAGGACCCAGGAGGAGGACTCAGGAGGAGGAGGAGGACTGGGGAGGAGGACTGTTGAGGACTGATGAGGAGGACTGAGGACGAGGAGGAGGAGTAGGAGGAGGACTGAGGAGGGGAGGAGGAAAAGGACTGAGGAAGATCAGGAAGACCCAGGAAGAGGAGGAGGAAGAGTAGGAGGAGGAAGCATCTAAATGTTATTTCCATTTTTGTCCGTTTTTGTCCATTTTTGTCCGCTCTATTTTTTGTCTGTTTTGAAAATATGGGTTCCGAAAGGACAAAAAACATGATCCCCCTATAACAGCAAAAATTGAACATTTTATTTAGCAATTTAGGTGTCCATTAATGTCCGCTAATGTCCGTCTATGTCCGCCTATGTCCGCCTATGTCCGTCTATGTCCGCCTATGTCCGCCTATGTCCGCCTATGTCCGCCTATGTCCTGTCCTTTTTGGATTCTATGAGACAAGCGGACATAGACGGACGTGACACCCCCCCCCCCCCCCAACATATTATGACACAAATGTAAGTAACACAGTCTAGAGCTATATAATGAGGCATAGACGCGTTAAATAACTACTTACTGCTACTCAAAAGAATTACGTAAATGTAAGACAAGATTAGCTGAAGCAATATCTGATGTTGGTGACGTCATAATCATGACAATAAAGAATGACCAAATCAAACTTACTTTTTTGAAGTAACTCTGTATGAGTTCTTTGAGAGCACTTTTCTTGGACATTGGGATGTTTGCTTGGCACGCCTACGGAACAAATTATTCAGGAACAATGAACAATGATTAAGAATAGGTAGTAATGTTAGATGAAACCCTGTTTAAATCAAGTAAGACTAGAGATTAAACAGACCTGTGAAATAACAGCGAGGTTAGTTCGTAAAGCAGCCACCTCGTTAACCATGTTTATCAGCACCTCTTCTAGCACCTCTGGTAACTCAACTTCCTGACAGAATGTTCAGTTGTAGGGAAATAGAGGTTTACTTAGGCTAGGGGCAGTATTTATAGATTGTTAAGTATTGGTTCGTAAATTGTGATTTACAGCCTCCTCATAAAATAGCGAACGATATTGTGGTAATTTGACCGTTCTAATATGAAACTTAATACCTGATCTAGAACCAGAACACTTCTTAACATGGTTACTAAGTAAGTTAAAATAGGTTCCAGTATAAAAGTGAAATTGGATTCCTGTACATTTTCAGACAGGTATGAAATATCACTTGTAGATTGCAGATGTGTATTGGGTTTATTGATGATATCATTGTAGAATTTTCTAGATTATTGACAAGGTCTTATCTAGTAGATACGACTTTGTCAATAACATGTCAATAACGACGAATCAATAAATTCTATCTACATGTCTCTATGGACAGAGGCTGGCTTGACTCCTCTAGCAGCCTTCTTTTTCATTTGTACGATATTTTTACATTGGATGGTCTAATCACTATTTATCTCTACTATAATTCAAAGAATTATTTCTGTACACTGTATGACCGCCCACGTGCAAATTAGGTAAAAAGCAAAAGGTTGCAAAGTAACCATGGTAACGACTAACGAGGGTTGAAGCAACATTTTTATAGGCTGTATCTTCGGTTGTGTAGGATATTTTTTGACGCGATTTAAACTGACCGCCAAAGAAATAGAAAACTATTAGCTTCCTCCCTGTGACCACGGGCTTTCTAGTAGTTTTATAAAGCAGCTAACTGTAGCGAACCTGTTTAGAGCACTTTCTGAGGAAAACCCAAGTATGGTAGTATAGTTTCAACTGTACGGGGTTCACTTTGCAACATGTGTTTGAACAATGAACATGGACGAAAAACATGAAGTTACCTAATCTCTTCTTAAATATCCATTATCCATGGCAACAAGCCAACTTCCTTCCATTTGGATATTCCTTCTATTTATATCAATAATTTGCCAGCCAGTTTTAGTAATTATAATATCAAGATAATACCAGTACAGGTAATGTAATCACATAATGAAAATAACAAGCAGATAATCTCTTTGGCTAAGTAGCCATGAAACCGTCATTGCAAGATTCGTGGTTGTGCGTTCGGTATTCATTTACCCACGTCCTCTCGGTATGCGCCTAATTGCACCAATACCAAACAATCTATCTCAGCTCACTTAAAAGAATTGGTGGGCTTGTATCATCTATATTATATATATTATTATTATTATCTATATTATTCCTAAATATTGTAGCTGTACCCGAAGATATAATAACAGTTCAGGACTATGAAAATGTTCCAATTGAGTGACAAGAGAAAACATACCTCCTCACAGTCGAACTCTGCAGCGGAGTACACAGTCATACCCAGACAGTAGACGTATATCTGTTCTGTAGCAGTTGGGGAGGCTAACTTGGTCTCTGAGCTGTAGTATTCCGGTGCTACATACAGACTGTCGTTGTATTCCCCTAAAATGGGTGAAATAGTAATATAAGGGCAAGGATTTAATTATGATACAACATGATAACTTATTATGAGCTATTTAATGTAAGATTTTTGTATAACATTGGAACAATATGCAAGTTCCAGCATAACGAGCTAAGTATGCTGATCTTACAGTGGTAACAAGCATAAGGACGAACTTATAGAGCATACCAACAACCAAAACTTCCTGCCAAATAACAAACACCGGCCACAATAATGGACAAGTCACACAAAATGGTGTGCAAGCTGACCAATAGTGGGCTTGTAAGGTCAACATATTCAACAGAATCCCGGAAGTTTACCCCATTAGATGTAACAAACCATTGGCCCGTTATTAATAATATAGGTTGGGTAATATAGAGGAGGGGAGTTTGCCCTCTACTATCACCAGACATTACATTTATTAGTTAACGTACAAGGGGGAAGTGGTGCCCTCTACTATCACCAGACATTACATTTATTAGTTAACGTACAAGGGGAAGTGGTGCTAGGTACCGGAGTTTCGATGACAAACATTCAGTCTGTATGTTAAATTGCGAAATAAAGAATAATTTAATGTCTTCTAAATAACTAATTATGTAAGTATTTTGGTTTGCTAAAAATCGAGAAAATAACATTAAACAATAAGATTGCATGGTAAAGAAATTCCTAGCACTCACATCGAGATGAACGACAACAAATCACAAACCAGATGTAAGTGGGAGTTGAAATTATGGGAAAGAAAATGCCTCATTAATCGAGAATTGTGTTAATATATGAAGTATGTAACTGTAAGATAAGCAGAAGTTCAAAGGATAAGAATCGTACTGCATAAAACTGGATATTAATTATGAAGCACACTTACCAATTGAACCTCGTTTAACGGACACATTTCCATCGGCAAAGAAACTGATTTTACTGGAACAAATTAGAAACACTGGCCCTTGTTGCCACGACACAGGATCTGAAAAATATCGTTTTATATTTGATTTAATTTATATAACAGTAAATACATCGTCATAAGTCATACTACAAACCTAATCTCTTATTTATTATTAAGAGTTGCTGATTTTCCACTATTGCAATAGTAAGACTAGATAGTAGATCATCTTAGTTACTCCAATGTCATGCTGATTCCTGTATTTCAGTTCTCTGGTGGGAATTCCATCAAAACAACAATAAATTGAATACAGTAAGAGTTTTGTATCATATTTACACAGTGAATTTAAATCATTTAGATTCAACTTTTAGAATCAAACCAATTACTCAATTACAATACACACCATCATTTACCTTTCAGGGCCGTTTTGAGATAAAAAGATAAAGAGTGAAGAAGTTCCCAGAGCAAATGTGGCTCAAATTTGCCACCAAAATTCAGTAATTGTTGAAGGGTTACACATGTGTCGTTTGACATCACATTCAGGCTCACGGCTACTTTACCATCAATTCATAGCCTGTGATATAATTGAAATGTCAGGAAATAAAATACTTCTAGGGATCATTCACATATAACGTAAAAAAGGCTTAATGTTGCTATATACGCGTTAAACCTAGATCCAGTACTCAAACCATACCTGATTTAGAACTGAGCATAGACAGCACTCCTATATAAGGAACAATCACTGCAAACGTTTCTTGGTGTTATTATAGATGACAAGCTGAATTTTCAGTATTTAAAAGAAAGTTGAATTTATACATTATCCTGTCGCTTGAACATTCAGTCAATGCGAAAAAATGCTTCCAGGGGACAGCAAAAAAGAAGGCCTCACGAGAAGAAACACTGGATCATTAACCCTCACATGTCACTGCTTAAGGACAACGTAAATATTACCTGCTCAAGGACTGCAGCGATTATAACCATATTCCAATCTGCCTTCAGCTACATACAAATTAACCAGAGACACAAAGAGACACTACAAAAGCTGGTAGAGGACATGAATGGAGACGAGGAAGTGGATGCAGACGCAGCAGACCTGTCGGTGGGGGGGGGGGGGGGGGAGCTTTCTGGTGAACCATTATTTAAAAACCAATGAACCTGAACGACGAGACGCCACCCATTAACTCCAAAGCTAGTCTTCATGCAATGGCTAGATGTAGGGGTTTGAGATCAAATGTATCTTATTATTGTAGATGTATTCAGAATACGAAGCATACAATAATTGTATACTGTCTTGAAATGATTTATACAGGAAATGTGAATGAGATCCATTCCCAAGCATTAATTTGACAACGCTGGCAGAGCCGCGAATACGTGGGGACCTTATTGAAGCTTTTAAGGTTATTAATGGCTTGACTGATTATGGTTCAGACTTGTTCAGACCAAGCAGATCAGGTCTTAATCTGGTTTCATCCAATAGATGTAGTAAGAGTGTGACAAAGGTCAAGAATCTTCAGTGTTCTTTTCTTCCAGAGCGGGTTGTTCCTTATTGGAACAAACTCCCTTCGGAGGTGAAGAACTGCTTGACAGTTTTGAGTTTTAAAATTGGATTGGAAAGTTTTAAAAAGAATATGATTTCTAAATGTATTGCAAATGACTTTCATTTTTGGAATGTTTCGAAAGAAGTTTTAACAAGAATTGAAGGTACCAGTTATATCAGTAATAAGGAAAAACACAATGATTATCTGTGGTTTCATCCTTATATAGCAAAGAAACGTTTTATAAATCTTTACTCCACTGGGAAGTATGAATAAATTAAATTTTTTAATGTTGTTGTTATTCATGATTGATATTTGAAAAAATTATTACTTTTAAATTTGATGGAGAAATAGTTACTGTATATTTTTCCATGTAGTGCAATGATATTTTGTAGACATTAGTGATGATGTTATGTCATAATTTTTACTTTATTTTACTTTACTTCAAGATCAAGGTGCGAGTCAACGACGCTACCTCCCTTGTATTCATCAGCACCAATGGAGGACCCCAAGGTGATAGTGTTTCAGGCCTCTGTTTCACAATCACTCTAGCTGGTGCCTGCTACCACCTGCGTGCCGTGACGCTGCGACCAACCCCCCTATAAGCCCTAGCAGCATGCCTGAAGAAGATGCATACTCTGATGACATCGACTATCTTGGTGAAGACAAAGATGCTCTAGAAGCCCTCCTCCCTATCGCTACTAAGGTGTTCAAAGAGTGGAATCTGAATATTAATGAATCAAAGACAGAGTTTGTACACGTCTACATAGCTGGGAAAGATGAGGTCATGGATGATGGTAAACCCCTTAGAATGAATGAAGAATGGTGCAGTAGCAATTTGTTGGGTTCTCTGCTAGAAAGTAGGAAAGATGTCACCAGAAGAATCATGTTAGCCAATGTAGCATTCCAGAACTTCAAGAAGGTATGGTGCCAGAGTAAGATCCCCCTACAGAAGAAGCTGAAGGTCTTTGAGGCCCAAGTAGTATCTATCCTCATGTATAACTCTAGTTGCTGGGGAATGCCTAAATCGTACTGGGACAAACTAGATGCATGTCACCGTAACCACCTCAGAAAGATCATGAATGTCAGCTGGCCACGCAGTATGATGTCCAAAGATACCCTCTACAAACAGAGTAACTCTACCCCTAGAGTATGGGACATGGTAGACTCTGGAAAGTGACTACCATGTCCCATTCATCGAGTGGTGCTCCTGAAAACCATAGGAGCATCAGCTGCCAAAGCAGGTTTTCTAAAAGGTTCTCTCTGTGTCACATTGGTGTTTTGAGGGGATCCTGTCCAGCGAGTCTCGGGATTTAAACAAATTCGATGCTTTTTAATTTTATTTGTTGTTAGAGTTGCGGTTTTTAAGCGATGTTTGTGAGTACAAAAAGACAAAAGTGGGACTAAACATGGTTATAACGATTGACAGTGTAGAATTTTAAGTTTTTGTCTAGTATAATTATTTAAAATTGGTATACCGTTTTGAGCTTTGTCAAATCCCTCGACCTGTATTATTTCATCCAATGTTTAAAATTACGAATGCATTCTTTTGTTTGCTATCCTGGATCCCTCCGGTGATGGAGTGGAGTTGTCCATATTCTAGGATCATAATGTATTTCACCTCGCCATTTGCCTAATCGCGACCCAAAATCCACGCACCACGGTAGTGGAACTTTTTTTAACGGGTGATACTCGAAAAATGTATTTGTTCCAAATATTACTTGTCATACGTTGTATGACCCGCCACGCACGAAGTGCGCGACTCCCCCTGTATCGTCGAAGACGATACTATAGTGAAGCGACCGTGGGGGTCACCACGTGATACAAAATATTACCGTCGACGAGTCCAACTCGGCGCGCGCCCTGGTAACCGTTAAATACTAGTGGAGCCGCGGCAAAACTGCGCGGCTCCATCGAAATGCGCGGGCATTACTTTTGTTAGAAATTCAGTGTCTGTTATTGATTTTAAAATTAATCTAGAAGAATTTAAAAAGACTAATAATTTAGTACGTAGACACAGGCAACTTTTGGGAAGTGTCAAATATAGTTTTGGCAAAAATAGAGGGTGTAAATTATATCGAAAAGAAGAAGCAACAAGTCCAATATTTTTATAAAAATCCGTGTGTTGCCAAGAGAAAGGAAATAAATATCGCATGAATTTGTTTTTATTTATTTATTTTTTAAATTAAAATTAACGGTTTTTAACGGTTTTTAAACTTTTATATATGTAAACAAATTATGACAATTATGTTAATTATAGAATTTGTTTGTTTTTTAATGACAAAGGCTGTGAAATGTTCACAGTTCTGATAATGAGGAAATCAGACAAAATGTTTAAAACTAGTGATGATGTTTATGTCATTAGTCTTAATCTAATCTAATCTAATCTAAATTACTGCAATTTATTATGTCGCCGCGCCTCACGTCTCGAAATAAAACAATAACAAACAAACGTCTATATTTTTGTAACAACAAATAAAATTTTATTACATCTTTTTTAATATGTTTTCAGATGAGAGAACAAATTTTGACAGCAGAATTATTCATATAGAGTCCACTTGTATTTAATATTAGCCTGTAGCCCTGTACTGGCTCAATAAAATGTGACCTCCAGATATGATCAGTGAAATTAGGTACTCTGGGGGAGCTGCATAGAGTCCACTAGTATTTAATATTAGCCTGTACTGGCTCAATAAAATGTGACCTCCAGATCAGTAAAATTAGGTGCGCTTGGAGAGCTGCATAGAGTCCACTAGTATTTAATATTAGCATGTACTGGCTCAATAAAATGTGACCTCCAGATCAGTAAAATTAGGTAGTCTGGGGGAGCTGCATAGAGTCCACTAGTATTTAATATTAGCCGCGCGCCCTGGTAGGTTATAAACCTACAACGCAGCTCACGTTCACCTAACTATGTTCTTTTGCTCCATTGCGGGCGCGCTTGTCATGTTTCATTTTGTATCACGTGGTGACCCCCACGGTCGCTTCACACTGTAGAGTTTCGACGATACAGGGGGCTGGGGGAGCCGCGCACTCGTGCGCGGCGGGTCATACAACGTATGACAAGTTTCATTATATTCGCCGGGAGGCGGGCGCGCAATGAAACGAAAAGTTTTATTTTACATTCCTTTAATTATAAATAAAATAAAAGCTTAAACCACGAATTAGTTAGCTAGACGTAAACTTGAGGAAATATTCTTTATTTAAACAACTTTATTTGGTTGTTAGTATTTTTATTATGGTAAGTGGTTGAATTTTGTCATACGTTGTATGACCCGCCGCGCACGAAGTGCGCGGCTCCCCCTGTAGCGTCGAAGACGCTATAGTGAAACGACCGTGGGGGTCACCACGTACGTGATACAAGTTGAATTTAGGTGAATTTAGTGAGACAGGGTCAGTTTCTCTATTGTCGTAGAAAAATGTCTACTTTACAGTAGGCAATGCTGAGTGGCAGGAATGAGGGACCAAAACGCTTGGGGCTATAGCTAACAATGGCCCACTGCAAACGCAAGGGCTCTGGATAGTTGCTTTTGTGAAACAAGCGCGCCTGCAGTGGCGCGAAAGTACATGGTTTATAAGTGAATCTGGATAAAGCAACAGCTCGCGTATTCCATATGTTTTTACAATTTTATTGTTCATGTTTATTGTTTATACCGCGCGTTGTATAAATGATGAAAATCAAGCGTTAAATCGAATCTATATTTATATAATAATATTTTCAAGATGTGTGTTTTCTGTGTGTGCGTGCGTGCGTATGTAATTTCCGAGCGGCTTAATCAAGAAAACGGTAACAGTTACGGGGATGGTTTTTTTCGGTATAGTGCCAACAAAACTATTAGGAAGTCAAATGGTAATGGGTAAAGGGTTTTTTAATCGGTATGTGGTAAATGGTTTAATTGATAGCATGGTTTTGTTCCACATGACAAATGTTAAATAAAATGGCTTAAGCAGAATGGTAAAAGTTACGGGTCTCGCTCTTTTTCCCATTTCTGTATATTTATATGTTATAGCTGCATAATTTAGTTAGCCCGGGAAGATTCGCTGTAATGTTATACCATAAGCTTATTAGGGAGGGGGCACTGTTAGTGTTTAGGGGTCTGTTTGGACTGCAGAGAGAGTTCATACTTTCATACGAAAATGTTATGCGTGTTTTCAAATGTAATAGGTGGGTGTGGTGCGGAGTTAACAAGGGTTAATTTCTAAAACGATTTAAATAACAAGAAATGCGGCCGCTTTTCTTTTGTGGACGGCCGCTCAATTTCCCGATCCGTGATGGCTTATTTTATTATATTCAATATAAGCTGGGTCCCCAGTCTTTGCTGTTTATAAGTATACAGATATAGCGGAGTGACAGGCGGAGCACTGCCCAGTTAATTCCATATTGAACTTGAAGTTGAAAATCGTGTAACCATATGCTTCATTGTTTATGCAACCAGACACGGCTCTTATCTGTGCAAAATAGTGATACTAACAATGATAACAATATGCTATAAATTAGTGCCTAGTGGGATACGTACGTACATATCATGGTGAAATTAACAATTTAATTGGTCAGTTTAGCGCCGCGCGACAACAATTATTTAATTCAAAATATCTCGCAAAATAACTTTGCGCAGGCAGAAACGTGGGCGACATATTGGCGCGCGGGCATGTATGTCATGCATGTAGGCACGCAGGCACGCACGGTCGCACGGTCGCAAAGCTACCATATCAAAAAAAAACCTCGTTCGCTAACCCTTGTACTTGACTCTTTTGTGCCTTCGGCACTTTGAGTCATGGATCGGGAAAAAATGGAAAGCGGTTCAAGTCGGGAGTAATGAGGTGTAATAGTCGGTGGGGGGGGGGGGGGGGTAATGACTACCAATGGAGACTTTTGGGGACTAATGGGGATTAAAAATCATGGGGACTAGAGGTCAACTCGTTGACGTAATTCACCATTTGTCCCCATAAGTCCCCAGAATTTTTGACAGTTATTTATGGTTTTCAAGTTAGTTTAATAACGATACGATCGAGATGTTTTGTCCAAGATAGGAGTAGGATAAATCTAAATGGGGACTAATGGAGACTTTTGGGGACTAATGGGGACTAAAAATCATCTAAATGGGGACTAATGGAGACTTTTGGGGACTAAAAATCATGGGGACTCGGGGTAAAATCGTTGACGTAATTCCCCAAGTCCCCAAAAGTAGTCATTACCCCCCCCCCCCCCCCCCCTAGTCGGTGTTCTGACTTTATGATCATGGAATGTGGTGCCTAATTATGACTTAATTATCCACGAGATGAACTGATTATAAAATTATTGGTTGGATACTATGTGGTCACCTAATGCGGGTTTTGACCCAGCGGGTATTTACTCCTACCCCTTTTAACTGCGGCAGTGAAATCCCGGCCGAAGGCCGGGTTACACTAGTACCTTTATATTTTCAGAATAATATCCTTTGAGTTGTTTCATATACATTGCCAAATGCCACTTCAGCAGTATGGCTACACTCTGAACAAAGAGGAGTTTCGTGGCAGTGTCTGTTGGAACCCTGTTCTTGGGTTAATTAAATAACAAATAATACACAATTATTATAAATACAAATTAGATGAATAAAGAGGTTATACAAATAAATGTTGTGTCAAATGTAACCTTGTTACTCTATATACTCACTCTCAAATAGTGAATGAGTGATTAAAAGGTGATTGGTGTGACTCAGCTACTCACACTGCTCTAACTAATACACAAATCAATACTAAACTAAATAATGTCTTTTTACTATTAGATTAAACTACTATTAAATTAAAACTACTACTCCTGATGATGATGTTCTTCTTACTATATGAGGGACTTCTGAATGATAAGGACTTCAACTAAAACTGGAACTGATAACTATAAGACAAAAACCCTGGGGGAAAACTACCGTGAGTAAAGTGAAAGGTAAACCACGTGAAACTATAATGAAAGTGAAAGAGGAAGCAGGAACTCCTAGACTAAACTACTAAACTATAACTATAAACTACTTACCACTCTTTCCACGTCACAGAACACAGATAGTATCTGTCGACCGGAATCTGTGGGATCACTAAAATACTAGACACTCCTCTCTCTTCTGCTGCGCTAGAGTCTGGAGTCAACAACGTCACTCCTCTCCCTTCTGCTTCGCTAGAGTCTGGAGTCAACTAAACACTGGACACTCC